CTACAAGGTCTACAGGACCGTTTTGATAAATCGCAGGCCCAATAACTCCGTCCCTCCAATCTCTAATAATCCACAAATTCCTAATTCAAAGTCGGGTAACGTACTTGGAACGTCTCTGGCGTTTCAGAAGTACATGAGCGGCGCCCAATTGCTCACCATCAGGTGATCTGTGAGCTCGTTTACCGGCTTACCCATAAAAAGTACTTTCACCACTTCATCAACAGCCTATAAGGGGCCACTGTTGCCCGGAGGCCTTTTCTGACACGGAGAAGGTTTGAGCAATTATCAACTCGATTACTCAATACGGGTTGGCGATTTAAAATTTATAATTAGCAATTGGCTAGTTTCCTAGGTTTAAAATAAATTGTTTCAACTTTTCAATGCAATAAATAATTAAAAAATAATCATACTCTCATCCATTGATTTGATAATTTACCTACTTTTGGACTTTTTCTCGCAAATTTTAAGGAAATATGTATGCTATTTGACGCAGAAATATGATGTCATAAGTTGCGATCCAATACAAAATTCATAGAAAAGTATCGTTTTTGACATTTCAATAAAGGTATTGAATTTGACTACCTGTCAACTACCGTATAAGTTATAGTTTATAAGTTTGAAGCGTGCGCGGTCGCGGCGACGTCGCGCAGCTCACTGTGAGCTGTGACAGAAGAACCCCTCTGTGGTTCGAAACAGTAGCAAAGAAAAAAAGTAGTAGTAAACTAGTAGTAAAGCTCTACAGCTTTTCTCAGTATAATCACGAGAGTAATATTATAGTTAATTTAGTGTGTCTCACGATAGTTATTATAAGCTAAGAGTATATTTTTATCTTTACTTTGCATGTGTAAATACATAATAAATGACTAATGCCCGCATACTGAAAGGCTATAGGACAAGCCCGCTACAACCTCCCAAAACCGCTGCAACTCCTGTAAGTTAGGATCTACATACACTCATGAAAACACCGGAACTTTGAAGTCCGGCGCGTCCCAGGGACATGAATAACTGTCTTGGTTCCCGCAACGAAGTGAATCAGAAGATATTATAAGAGGAGAAGAAAAAAAACTGAGGGGCTAGTCAATTTGAGTTGTACTTTATTATATGTATTAAATATTGTGCCATCATTGTCATTTTACAAAAAAACATAGAGAAAGAACTATACTTAAGCGCGACCAGTAGGTACCTAGTGTAAAGTTTGAGTATTTCGACATAAGTGGCGGTTGCTTTTAATTTTGTAAATTAATTTCATGTGGAAAACCAATAATTGACGTGTGAAGGATCATGGTACGCTGTAAAAGGGAAACGCAATAATGAAATTGAAACCAACATTATATACTTTATTCATAATTATTCATCTCTTCCATTACACCCAATTACCACTAAAATATATTTGGCAATATAAAAAATAAGGAATACATTAGACTCGAACATTTTCAATCATTCTACCTAATTCATATCTAAGTATATATTGTTACGGTCAGAGTTACCAATTTGGACAATTTATACAATTACTAAATATTCAATATCTACAGGGATATAGAAGTCATCAGCATCCTTTTACAGACAAATTTTTGAAGAATAACATAACATAATATAAATTAATGCCTTTTATCCCCGAAGGGGTAAGCAGAGGTGCACATTACGGCACTTAATGCCACTCACTTTTCACTATTTATGTTATAAGTTCCATATAATAGGGAGGGTGCCTATTGCCATACATCGGGCCCAATTCCAGACTCCATGCTACTACTGAGATTTTTTTTAAAACCCAGTAGTACTTTGCCCAGCCCGGGAATCGAACCCGAGACCCATTGCCCGGCAGTCGCACTTGCTATCACTCCGCTAACGACGCGATCAATTTTTGAAAAATAATCTACTGTTATTACCACAAACAATACTTGATATAGTTACAGAAACAAAGTGACGTCAGCATAGAACACATTTGTCATTTCTTCTCTTCTTATGCTTGCCGTAAGAGTCTACACAAATTAAAACAATGCAAATAGAATCTCTAGTTATTTAAGTTTAAAAAGGATGCTGATAACTTTAAACGAATCATTTACAACATACAACTAACATCGATAAATAAATCGTTACTGTACAACGAAACAATTTTGGAAAACGAGTCTAACACCCGAATACTGAAAGGCTACTAAATTTGAAGTCATACTTAAATATCTTGCTATCTCTGTCATTTACATGGAATTTGTAGAGACAGAACTATATGTACTTAAGCGCGATTTAAAATTGAGTAGCGTTTGAGTATTTCGACATAAAACGTACATAAACTTTAACGTTGTAATTTACAAACACCATGTATAGTCAACACGTAAAGCTACTTTAAAAAGTCGAAATTCTTTATTAGATTTTAGACTCTTACTGTTTTGTTATATAGTTCAAAACCTTTTAACTTTACGTCGACGATCACTGATAGCGTTGTAATAGTTATCTAATATACATGGTGTTGTAAAATAAAACCGTAAAATTAATTACATCCATAATAATATTATTATTAAAAAATCTCCAATTTAATACTTTGACAGTATTAAATTCGCGTAACCATTCTTTTTCGAATACATTTTCTAATATGCGATATATCTAGTGTTCTTACGTTTAGGGTTAAAATAAAAAACAAATGACTATAAGGTAATAAGAATAATAAAAAAATATACAATGTAGTGTTGAATGAATTCTTGGCCACAGCTAAGACACTGAGAACTAACTAACTCCTACGTCATAAGGATGAAAACGGCTTGGCAAAGATGGGAGATGCGCGGTGCGTCGTCAAGCTTGCTTTTTATGCCATTTTCAACCGTACGTTATAGTATTTTAGGTTTATTTTAACTTGATTTATTCTCAGTATCTTCGCCGCGTCTGTATGGTGTGCACTGGGCCATAAGTTGCTTCCTAAGGAAACTAAAGTTATGCTGGAATCTTGCCATTATTTTCATCTCTTTCTAATAACAGCGGTGAGAAAAAAATAGCAATATGTTTAGTTGCACACAGGAGATTTCATATTATACACGAGATACATTATTTTTCTTCTATAGTAACATCATCGAGACTTGGATACAAAGGTATAAAAGTCAAAAGTCAAGAAAGATTGACAACCCGCGACTTCGTACGCGGGTTACATGAATTGGAACATTTTATCTATAAAGAATTTTTAGTGACAGAACTATATTTAACTCGTCGAGTACCGGTTTTATAGACACAATTAAAGAACAATAGGTCGCGGTCACCGGTGACCGCTTGGTGTTTGACAGTTTAAGCGTGACTTATAGGGTAGCCTTTCAGTATTTGTGTGAAAGAGGTTCAATGTTATTAAACGAGTGCTTAGCAAGCTAGCAAGCCCCTTTTGATTATTTGGGTCAAATTATGTAATTGGAATTATACCCCCTTCCTAACGACAGATCGATCTGATATTTGGTGCGCACTCTTAATCTCGATGACCATACAATGTAATCGATTTTCCCCAATACTTCCATTACGAATATCAAACGAAAGGGCTTGATCGAATAGAGCTTATCAAAACTGTTTAACATAAAAAACATAATGTCTACTTGTTTAATTTCACCCTGTATTGAAGCCTGGCCAACAGACTACCAAACAAAATGCAAGTTGATATAATATTTATTATCTAGTCTGCAGGCGTATTATCTATTTGTTTAAATTTGTTATCGTTATTAATGTCTTTTCCTGTTGTTTTTAATTAGTTATATAGTTATCTATTTGTCATCCTTTACCATGACTCATAGCTTTGTTGATTGAATAATAGCTAAAACATAATAATATAGTATTTTTTGCTGGATTGAGGTGTACAATTAGAATTTTTGATGTCGTACTGCGGCAAACGAGCAGGTGGATTACATATTTGTCTGGACCTTAACAGAGACGGACCTCTGAGTTTGTTTCGGCATTTCTTCTCAGAGTAGTCAGTTAAGAAATGTCGACCTCATCGTTCGCTTGATAAAATTGTCGTGTAAAAGTGCTGCCTTGTAGCCTATTTGCAGAAATAAATTCAGTTGTTTTACTTCATGGGAAGCTATCTGCACTGCCCATGGACACTCGCAACACCGAAGTAGTTACATGTGCGGTGCTCGGCTTGTCTTTTGGGGCGTCTTTACCATAAAGGCACTTGGGGCTCGCGCCCAGGGCCCTATCCTCAGGGGCCCCTAATGACCGACAATTTCTTCGACACACACACCCGATACACGCTGCGTGGCAACCGGCTACACCGCAACGTGTAGCAGGTCCGATTCTCACACGGAGCAAATCTTTGAGTGATCCACAATCAACAAATTGTTGTTTCGGGTCTGGGTAGCATGTGTATGTGAACTTGTATGTTTGTAAATGCACCCACGATATAGGAGAAAATACTAATGTGGTGCAACGTTGAAAGAAAGAAACATTCCAAAAAGGTTTCAAATTATTGTGTGCTAAAGATGCCCAGCGTAATCTGAAGAGATGTGATATATAAACAATAAATGTAGTCACAGGTCAACGGTGTCGCACCACACACTTCCCATCAGTTAGAAGTGGCGGGCGAACGTTCCCTTGAGCGGTGCACTACTTACTATAAAGAAAGATGTTTTATTATAAATTTCCATATTCAAATCAGTGAACACCACATTTAAGACGGACCTGGGATTTGAGGATTAGGCTTCCAGTAACCTCACTCATTTGGTTTCGAGACTAGTATATGAGATCTATCAGTAAGTGAGACTGTCTAAATCCATGTATTGAAGGTTTAAACAGACGAATATCTGCGACATTAAAGAAGTTTTTAAATGCGTTGTCGCCTCTTTTATTGGGGCTCTAGTGTCAACCTCACTCACGCAACGAAACACAAGGCGAGCATTGTTGTCACAGATTTACACATGTTGAAAATGGCGTAAGTCCATGTATAGGAATGTCTATTAAATATATTATTTGAAAATAATTAGATTTATTAGATTAATAATTAGATAAATAGATTAATAAAAAATAATTAGATTTTTTTTTTTTTAAAGAGTAACGAATGGAATTTCTTTCTCGTTCTTCTCCATTCGAATCTACATTTTGGAATGAGCACCTAGCTTCACCTAGCTTCACTGACTGACTGACAGACTATTATATATTTTGTATTTGTTGCCGTTTCAAAAGTATCAAATTATGGTTTAATTGAAATAAATGCTTTGACTTTGATAAATCCTATTAGCCAGGCTTCAATTTTTACCAATCATATTGTTATATACCTTTTCTTTTTTAATATCAAAACAGAATTCATTATTTCTTGAATATACTTCTTTATTGGACTTTAGAGAATAATTTTCTAGCGGATATTGACGTGAGCATAAAGATGAATCGTATGAATTAGAAAATAAGTCTTACATTCGTTTAAAATATAAAAATATTTATATAGAAAAAACATACAAGAACATAATCGACTTTTAAACAAATTAATAGTAAAATCAAAAGTATTTATGTTCATAAAATATAACGTTAGTAAATGAATTAATATTGCCAGTTATAAAAAATATAAAAAATCGTGTTTTTTTAAATAGCAACAATTTGGAATGTCATGTTTATTTGGCATTAAAATTCCCTTTTTGTTATTATATTTTATAGAAGATCTTACAATTACCCGATGACGCAGTACATATAAGATTTACACTAAATTTTTACTATATACGGACTTACAAATACATGAAAAATAATAAGAAAATACAAATTTTAATCTAAAATCAATTACAATTTTAGTTATTTACTATAAGTTATACATATTCATTATATTACACATTTACTATGTTATAGTATTATGAAATATATAATTATATATCTATAAAAATTAAAATATAAGTTTAAATTCTTTGAAGAGATAGAAAAATGTGATGTTTTGAAATTATGTATGTGAATTTAAGTTTTTAATTTAACTGTATTTAAAATATTGAATAACAAAAATTAACAGAAAACTTTATACAAACAAGCTCAGAAGTGTAGTATACAGTCAGACTTTGTCTGTGTGTGCGATAATCTTGAAAACGTCTGAGCAAACATTGATAGAATTCATCACGATAAATCCAAACAATAATTTTTATATTAATTTTATTTATCTATTGCAAAGCCTCATGATAACAATTTAAAATATTAAATACTTGTTTCTATGGAAGAAATATATTAAATTCGAATGAACAGAGTGTTTTTATATGACATTTAAAGCATGCGCGTGGGCAGCCATATTTGCAAATATTACAGTTTTATATAAGGCGTGGAAAATATACAATTTCTTCATATATAAACACTCCATTTGTTCTCTCATCGGAGGTTGTTTAAAAATTTGTGTCAGAGAGAGATGGAAGATACACTAGATAGCGCCATCTCTATTCCGCACTATATACAGGGTGTAACAGAATAAACAACGGAACTTGTAGTTAGGATTTCAGACAGTATCATTGTATATCTTTAGTTTCCAGCACTTTTATAGAAATTCTCACTTTTTATACATATTGTTGTGACTCGCAATTTGCTTATGAGGAACTATAGTGTATATAAAATGTTTATTAAACGTTGTTCATACTACACATTTCTATAGTTATTATTATACATGTATAAAGCACTTTTTTTGCTTACTATCAAACAAGAAGTTGACTCATATTCGCTCACTTATTATGAACAAAAAGTTATTTATCTTCATAGCCTGAATCAACTACAAGGTATTGTTTATTCTGTTGTACCGAGGTGTATATATGTATGTGTATGTTCGGTAAGGTATTGGAATTCATTTACTAACGTTAGCGCATTCGCTGTGTGCGAGCGCGGAGAGTCCCACTCATTTGATGGCGCGCGCCTCCGGTAGGAACGCGTCCCAGTAGCGGATCGACTGTAAACAATAAACACATTTATTTTACATAATGACGAAGAAAAATAATCTTAATATAAATATAAATCTCGTGTCACAATGTTTGTCCTCAATGGACTCCTAAACCACTTAACCGATTATAATAAAATTCGCACACTATGTGTAGTTCGATCCAACTTGAGAGATAGGATAGTTTAAATCTCAAATTATAGTCGCAATTTTAATTTATTGCTAATTATTTGTCTGTTATTTTTTGACAGTCACAAATATCTGTTAACTCCACATGATTCTAACAGATGACGATACCTTTCGACTGGGTTGAGTAAGTAATCAATAGATGGCGCTGCTATGGGTTTTTTTTAATAGGAGTGATTCTTAAGGAAGTTTTATATGTATAAATTGTATAATGCATGCATATTGCACCCGTGCGAAGCCGGGGCGGTATATTATAAGAATTTATTCTACGCGTAGCGAAGTCGCGGGCAACAGCTAGTAAGAATATATAGACAAAAGAAGAAAAAAGTTATGGAGTCCCACGCGATAGGGGATGACCTTATTTTTTTAAGGGGGGAAAATCATCAAATGACTGCTCCCGCCTGGGTGAGGCGGGAGGGAGTGTCAGACTCTTACTGACTAAAAACCACCCCGTTCCTTCTCCTGCACGTCGAGCCGGAGCACCGGTAACCCGTTAGGTTCTCCGCGACGGGATGACCATATTTGCATTGGACTTATTTTACTGTCATATAGTATATATTTGATTACAATCTTGCCTGAATTTATATTGGGCAGATTGCTTTCGAAAAGTGCTCAAAATATTTTTACCAAACTAATGTTTGGATTTGGATACAACGTGAACGATCTGATCCCGACCGAAACTTGCTCATTTTGCAAAGAAAAAGCGACGTTATAGTTTATTGTCAAAGTGATTTCAAACTTAAGCGAAAAGTAACAAGGTCTAAATGTGCCTGATTAGTAAGATATAGACAATAGTCCCCAACATCACAGCATAGTTTGTTGTCAAGGTAATATAAACCTACAGCTTCAAATAATAAGGTTTAATTACCTGTGCCTGATGCTTCATATGGTCGTCCAGATACCGTAGTAGCGCGTGTCTCAGGTCGTGTAGACGGACCTCGTCCCAGCGCTCCAATTCCTTCTTGATCACACGCGATATCGTGTCGAATTCTTGTTGGCCTCGCTCTACCTTCGCTTCCCACTGGAAAAAAATATTGTTATTTACGACTAGTCCTTGTTAAGATACTAATTTCTACCATTTTAATATATATTTTTAAACATACAAAAACGTATAAAAAATAACTTTACGCTTTACTTAACTATTAAGTCAAAAGTCGTATCGTTGGAGTCTTACATTATCGATGATGAACATAGGGCATATATTATATATTATATTATATGCCGCTATATTTAAGAACTAATAATATTATTCAGCTGCATCAGAATCAGAGATTTTAAAGAAAAAATACGAATTCAATTAACTGAATACATTTTACTCATGGACTAGCATCTGCCCACGGGTTCGCTCGCGCTCAAGTATTGAGGGCAGTTTTAAGCATTCAGTTTTACAAAAGACAAAAAAAATAAGTGCGCGATATGACCAGCATCACAAATATATTATCAATTTTAGTTTTTTTGAAAATTACGAAGAGCTCCATACAAACTTCCACCCCCGATTAGAAAGAAGCATTAACATGTACCCTACGCTATTTTCAATCCTTTCAACAATCTCCACTTAAAAAAAATCCTATAAAGACAAATTCTCGTGCGTTTCGGAGAGTGCATAGGACTGCTAACATAGAATTGAGAATTCAGTTACCGTTAGAGTTTACCTTTCCTAACTGACACGGTCAGCTCCAAAGGAGGTGTTTTTTTTCTGGCTCAAACCTGTACCTAGGTACAAATTACTAATAAAATTCCTTCCAATAATTTGTGTTTTTTGCAGTATTTAAAAGCCTTTAATATCACATATATTAAGAAATAAAAGAATACGAAAAAAAGCTGCCTCACGACGTTTCTGCGTAAAAAGAAACGTTCGTGATAACGTTGACAGCTGCCAATTTGTTCTATCTGTCAAAGTGATTTGATGTGAATATATTGTTTACATATTATGTTATTATTATGTTACATTGTTTGGAATATATGTTACATTATATTTTGTCTTAAACATGGATTTGGGAAGGGCACTCCAGAGTCGATTAACCGAAACGGAATGATTTGAATTGAATGACATTGACAACAGTAGAAAAATAGTATCGGCCCTGGCTTTGGTGCCCGGTCTTTTTGACCGGTAGATAACCAAACGCAAAAAATAATATGAATTGTGAAATAAATGTACATTTAGAAATACTTGTTTGTATAATCATTCACGACAAATGTAACTAGAAAAAAAAACTATCTGTAACACAGAAAAAAATCCTTAATAATACATTTTAATTTTCATAAAATGAAGTAACGAAACGCATTATCGAAGAAGTAAATCACGACATTGCCAGACTGAAATTCTTGGGTTGCAGGTTTTAACATCTTCGATCGACTATTGCAGGTGGTACAAAAATATACCTCTATATATATATTTTATTTTGTTGCATTTTCTAATTTTAATATTTTAGTAAAGTACAACTTGTGTACCAGTTCGGTAACCCACCAGCCGCCACTGGTTCCCACAAAGCGTAGGCAAACATTGGCGCATTGTGATATGAATACGCTCTCATATGCATTGTGCAATATTTTTCACTCACTGAAAACTTTGCGCAACGAATTGATACTAGAAAAGAGGATAAAGTTAACTCGAGTACGAAATGCAAATACTACAAAGGTGATATTCTTCTAAGATTATTTAGACACCATTGACAAACGGTGAAGGAAAAACATCGTGAGGAAACCTCGGCTTATAATTTCTAATTATAAGTTTGAAATCGCCAACTCGCATTGAGCAAGCGTGGTGATTAATGCTCTAACCTTCTCCGTGTGAGAAGAGGCTTTGCTCAGCAGTGGGCATTTATAGGCTGTTGATGATATTCTTCAAATGTACGTTACCTCAATAATCTCATTGGCGGCTTGTTCGATCTTTTCGGGCCGGTTGGCGAGCTCGGCCTTGGCTTTGTTCTCTCTCCGCTTCGTCAGCTGCATCTGAGCGTGTTGCCAATTTTGGAATACCTGTCACAAAGATAATGTAACTAACATAAATCATATAAGACATAATATAAAGATGCATTTTTTACTTTATCAACTTTTAAAATTATCATTACATGGGACTCATAACCAGTGATTGGAAAAAGGTGAGCTAATTTACCAAAACTTCAAGGAACCAAAACAAAAAGTGGAGACTTCCTTACTACAACATTTTTTTCGGGAAAATTCCGGTTCCAGTTTCGGGATATTTATATATTACATTTAATATAATTGTAATTAATACAGAAAACAATTGATTTCGTTTCGTGATTTTATTTTTTATTTTTGTTATATATATTTTTGTTAATTTTGGTGTTGAATAATTTTATTTTATGCTCTTTCTTACATCTTAAAATATTTATTGTTGAAAACAATAAAAGTTTTATTTTTGTTTGGTTTTGTGTTAAATTTAAGATTTAGGTAAGCGGTCACTATAGTTTACATTTTTTATGGACCTAAAACTGATAATAAGATAGGTGTAGAATAATTACCTTGACTCTCTCATGGAACACATCCTTGATAGCTCCGATGAGTCCGAGGTAGTCCTTCACATGTTCAGCCAGCACGTAGAAGTCTGTGTTAGACTGCTCTAGTCGCAGGTGCTCGATCTGTGAGGAGATTAATACAATTATAGTGTTAGATTGGTATGTTTCAGTTGTGTTGTATTGATTTTGACTGTTGTTACAGAAGGTCTAAAGCCTCAAAATTGGAATTGTTTGATTGGGTCCTTGACAGCTAGTAAAATTTAATGATTTTTTTCGAACTGTCAAAAAAACGACAGTTTTTTCTGAATTTTGTACGAGATTGTCTATTGTGATGTCACGTTTTTTTAACGTCAAACAATATACGTATTTCTTAAAAATTTGATTATTTTTTATAATGTTATTGTATTGAACAGTCGAAATAATTTATTTTTGATTAAGGAAATTAGCCAATTGAGATACAGTTTGAACTCTAACTTAGAAAAAAAGGGCTGGAGAAAGATTTAAACAGCAAAACCCAACAATCTGGTTTGGCTGTGAGGTCATAGGATACTACGATCGGTACTAGTCGACCTCAACCACAGGTCGCAGCATGACATTCTCACGTTAAAAGCCTATTGTATTGTGTCAAGTGTAGACGATTGCGTACGAAATAATTATTTTCTTCTATTAAGTACTAGCTTTTACCCGCGGCTTCGCTCGCGTCACAAAAGGATAAAAGTAGCCTATGTGACATATACCAATACAAACAGCGCCATCTATACCAATTCTTTTGTTTTCCCTCGGGAATATCAAATTTTTCCGGGATAAAAGTACCCTATTATTTAATCCAGACTTCTAATTTTACGTCTGCAAAAATTCAAAGCAATCGGTTTAGAAGTTTCGGCGTGAAAGCGGAACAAACAAACAAACAAACAAATTCACTTTCCCATTTATAATAGTAAGGATAAGGGATACAGTACCTTCTCGTGCAAGTCAGCGGTGTGCGAGAGCGCGCGAGAGAGCGGCGCGTGCGGGTCCGCGCCGGAGAGCGCGGCGCATGCGCGCGCCGCCTCGTGCGTGCGCGCGCTCAGCTCGCGCCGCTCGCCCGCCAGCGCCTCGCACGCGCCGTATAGGCGACGGAGACACGCTTCCAGAGCCTCCACACGACCTGATCGCTCCTCGAACCACTTTAAACATATAAACAAAAATTCATTAATAACTGCTTATAAATGCTCACTACTGAGCAAAGCTTCTTCTCACATGTAGAAGGATAGAGCATTAATCACCACGCTTGCTCAATGCGGGTTGGCGATTTCAAATTTATAATTAAAAAAATATAAGCCCAGGTTTCCTCACGATGTTTTCCTTCACCGTTGGTCGATGGTGTCTAAATGATTTTAGAAAGTACATGTAACTCGGAAAAAGTCACATTAGGTTTCGAACTCGCATCCTCATGCATGAGAAGCAAGGCGTCTTCAACCTCAGGGCCACTCCGACACAAATTATTCAGTCTATTTTATTGAAATGCCAATGACTTCTCCCGCCTAGATGAGATGAGAGGGAGTGTCAGATTCTTACTGACTAAAAACCACCCCGTTCCTACTCCTGTTTCGAGGCAGGACCCCAGTAACCAGCTAGGTCGTATACAGAAAAATTATAATCAACTTGTAAGACAATAAAATCTTCAACCGCAGCGACTGCTAAATTCAAGTATGAAAGGATGTCTAGCAAATGAAAGTAATGGATAAATTATGTCAGGATTATATGAAAGAAAAAAGCATTTTGTGGGAGGATGATGACTAATAAAGGAGAATGGAAATAGAAAACACTGTTATATTGAGTTAAATTAAAATAAGGGTAGGATGAAAACAGTAGAATCTACAGAAAACAAAAACAATTCAATTGGGATGATGACAGGGTATGTAATTTAAAAATAAAATTAGTCCGTAAGTAAGGTAATGAAAAAATATTAGACACGTATATTTTTATTTTGTCGTATAATAAAACAACACTTAGATAAAACGAATCAAATTTTACGAGTAGTGGCTAAAACGTCATTTCTACGTATAAAATATACATAGAAGTGACGCCACGCGACATTTCAAATCAATATATCGTCGAAAGTATTCGTTTCTGTAAGAAAATAAAAAAATACGTGTCTAATGATTTAAAATAATCTATCAGACGGACATTAAAATAAAAATTAGGCATCTACCCTATTTTAACACGTTAAACGCCATGGGGGTCACCGGTGACCGGCGTTAGCGGAGGATTTACCTTCAACAGTTTTTTATTGGCAGTCAAATTCAACAAGTTCATATTTACATACCGGGTCAGACTCGTCCATTCTGTACGTGATCTTGTTGACGGTCTCGCCGACCTTGTTGAAGAGACGCAGCACTCCCGCGCCACTCAGCGCTGACGTACTCGTCGCTTTGGGTAACTCTGTGTCTGTATAACCAAAGATTTATCCATAAAAATAATTTATTTTCTCCCACATTAACATAACATCACGCCTTTTATCCCCGAAGGGGCAGAGGTGCATAGTGGAATCATTTTGCAGACCATTAAACATAATATTGCCGGAATACTGAAACGTTACTCAATTTTAAGTCGTGCTTAAATATCGTGCCATCTCTGTCATTTTATAAAGAATTTGTAGAGACAGAACTATACTTAAGCACGACTTAAAATTGAGTAGCGTTTCAGTATTCCGACATATGATTCTTAATTTTGTTAGAACTAATCACAAACCTGACTCAAGGAACTCCCTGAAGTCTGGATCGATGCAGAGTACGGGGTGCTGAGCCACTCGGTTGAGGAAGCGCTCGAGCGCTGCACGGCGTCGCTCTACAAACTGCGACTGTACGCTGCCAGCTGCTGAGCTGCCATTCGCACTCTCCGTCGACGGTGTAGATGTCATCTTCAGCTTTGTGGTACCTTGCATGAAGAATTTAGAAGCATTTTACATTCACATTACGTTAGGTCACCTAAAATTTAGAAGATCTTGCTGATTGACGTAAATTTGGTTTTAAAGAATTCATTGCTCATATTTTGTTTTCACTTCTGCAGGGAATGAGATGTACCTCCTGACTCCCAGGAATTGGAGACGCATTTGGAATTCTAGAGTTATGAACAAACTGTCTAGGATACTGCAATGGTATCCTGCTGTGTTTGCCTCGCCTCGCTTTTAAATAAATGTAATTAATAACATACTAAATAGGCACCTCTGTTTTTATGCATAGTCTTTTGTATACCGATAGAGTAATTAAAATGTACTCACCAACTATACTCTTCTCAGGAGCCGGAGGTATGATCCTGCCAGACCTCAAGTACTTCTCAGTCAGCTTCTCATGTAGACCGAGGAAGTCGCTGAACCTCCGTAACACGGCGAATTCATGCTTGCTGAATATAGGCATATTGGTTTTGGTGAGGACACGGTACGCTACGTATGAGCTCATGCCTTCTCCAATCTTTTGTGGCTCCGTGATCGTGATTATTATGTTGTTTGCGCGTTCTGTTGCTATCTGTAAATAGGATGGTATATTATTACTAAATATGAACTTAACATAACATCACGCCTTTTTTCCCTGAAGAGGTAGGCAGGCAGAGGTGCACATTACGGCACTTATTGCCACTGTATAATGTAACACCCAGTTTTCACTATTTATGTTGTAATAGGGGGTGAGCCCATTGTCATATACAGGGCACATTTCCAGAAATGAATATGAACATATAACCAATGTGTGAGTTGCTTCTGGCTTTGTAGTCACACACACATACATAGTTCATACAAATTACGTTCTTTATTCCAATTCCTAGTACATAGTGGCTATCCGTTTAGACGCCGCTAGGTAATCAATAATTTGTTTATTTTTACAAATCTTTCGATAGTCTAGTCGTCTACAGACAGCGAACATCTAGAAAAAATCTTTAATAACAATTTTATCAATTGATTGCTTGACACTATATGTCATGGATAGCACTATATGTATGGAGTCTATTGCCATTTATATGGGTTATACAAATCGTCTACTAATTGTATGTAATCCTCAAAAAACACAAACATTACTAATCAACACGGAAGGTCGAATGTGTTTTGTTTCATTAAAGTTTTCAACAAATGAGTTGATGTTAATTAAAGTTTCCTAAAACGCATTTCTATCCCATGTTTTTTTATGGCATAAGCCGGTGAACGTGCAGACAGGTCATCTGATGGTAAGCAATCGGCGACGCCCATGGACATACCTGGAACACCAAAGGCGTTACAAGTGCGTTACCGGCTTTTTGGGGATTAGGAGTTTGAGGATCGTTGGGGATTCAGGGATTGGGGAGATTGGGGAAGGGGACGGTAATTGGGCCTCCGGTAATCTCACTCACACGACGAAACACAACGCAAGCGTTGCTTCACGTCGGTTTTCTGTGAGGCCGTGGTATCACTCCGGTCGAGCCGGCCCATTCGTGCCGAAGCATGGCTCTCCCACATTTAAAAAGTATGTGTGTATAATACACAGACGACACAGAGTAGACATCCCGGATGGACGTCTACTGTGTATTGTTTTGAATAGTTTATTAATAACAGGCTCGATCTATCTCTATCTCTACATATAGGTACAAATTCTCTGTTTATCAAAATTGGTTGAGCAGTGTTAAGGTGTTGAACGCGAAACATACAAACACATTTGAATTCGTAATAAAATCGTTTGATTTTTTATCTGACCGCTCAAAAAAGTTTCTCATAGTTTTTGTCCCTATCACAATCGAGTACTACGACGTATCTACTTTAAATATAGGCCTCTCCTATTTTTTACTCCTTCAAGTAACAATACCACAATTTAATCGAGAATTTACATCAATAATACTATTTATATATATAAGCAATCAACTTAGCAACAAGTTAGATAGTCGGTCGCGCACGAATTGCTTTCCCGTCGACTGATCTCCGCGGATTTGAGCCGGCATTAGGTATATACCTGACAGTAGGTATATATTAGTCGATTACTTTGATGTGCGACCTTGTACAAGTAAGCATTGTCCACGCTAACACGATATTCAGTGAAGCCATAATGAGTCTTAAGTCTTTTAGTAATTATTTCTTTGTTGGATGAAAAACCTGAATAATGTATTAGTTTATTGATTGCTACTGCATTTAATCGAATATGACGAAGTGATCGTGTAGTTAGAATTTCAAATCAAGCTAATATTACAAGTGTGGTGACTGTCGATTATGAGATATTTTTTAAAATTCTGTTTTATTAGCTACTACCGCGCTGTTTCACCCGCTCTGCTCTTTTCCTATTGATCACAGCGTGATTTTTTACCCGACTGCCAAAGAAGGAGGGTAATGTTTTTCGAGTGTATGTAAGTATGTATGTATGTCTTTTCCTTTGTGACCACCTGTAGCCTAAACGGCTTGATGGATTTTGATGTATGAGGTATCGTTAGATTTGTCTTGATTACGGGAGTGTCATAGGATACATTTTATCCTAAAAGTCCCACGGGATAAAGACATAATAATATTTTTTCTAAATTTCCCTTTAAAAAAATATGTATGCGGTATCATTAGATTCATTTCAATCACGGGAGTAATTAATATAGGATACGTTTTTTCTCAAAATTCCCACGGGAACATGTTAATTCTGCGTCAACGCAAAGCAACTCATGCGTTAGCAAGCAAAAAGATAGGGCGTGGCCTGGCATGCGGCGCGCGGCGCGGTGCGGAGGGGGATATGCTCGAGTATACAGCCCGATTGCGGGCACACGCATGAGGGCACACGTCGTTGACGATAGTCTTCTACATCTACAACATTTTCGTTAAATAAAAACAGCTAAAAAGTTATAAATAAAAAAATTATTATTAAAAAAACAAAATACCCGACTGCACACTAAAAAAAGAGTAAAACAAGCCCCACAATAATATTGATCAATCAAATGCTAAAAACTAATTATGTAATACCGTTTAAACAATACCTATATTAAAATACACTACAATATGTGTTCGTAATCGATAGTTAAATAAACAGAAACTTATTTTGAATACAAATTTACTGAATATAATTTATAAATGTTGATGGAAAGCATCGCAGGCGAGGACCACCTTGACCGCCACCAACGAAAATTCTGCTAAATGGTGCACAACCGAAATGACTATAAATAAGCCTCTGTTGGTCCCCGCCTGCGATGCTTTCCATCAACATTTATAAATTATATTCAGTAAATTTGTATTCAAAATAAGTTTCTGTTTATTTAACTATCGATTACGAACACATATTGTAGTGTATTTTAATATAGGTATTGTTTAAACGGTATTACATAATTAGTTTTTAGCATTTGATTGATCAATATTATTGTGGGGCTTGTTTTACTCTTTTTTTAGTGTGCAGTCGGGTATTTTGTTTTTTTAATAATAATTATTTAATGCTACTGTACATACATTGTACAGTGGCATTAAGTGCTTAGTGCACACCCACTTTTCACTATTTATGTTATGAGTCCCATGTAATAGAAGGTGACCCTATTGCCATATACCGGGCACAATTTCAGACTCCGTGCGACTACTGAGATTTAAAAAAAGACCCAGGAATACTTTGCTCGACCCGTTTTGTATACTAGTAACTAACGACGCTCAGTATTCGGGAAAACTCAAATTTTCTAGAGCTAAGTAAAGATTTGATCAAATCAAGAACATATGCGACGAAAAGTTATTTCCTAGAGCTTCTACTTTTCTTTTAATGAAAATTTGTCATGTTGTTTGTCAATTTGTAATTATAATTTGAACAATAAATTACCTCTTCCATGATTGGACTGGCTAGTGAAGCGTTGATAGACGGCGGAGCGTCACTAATGGCGGCCTTCTCGATTCCTTCGCGCGCACCATTCACCTCCGAGTCCAAACTGACTTCCTGTAATAAAGAACAGATTATTTAATAGGTAATAGATATACAATGGACAGCTACTTTGTAGTAATACAGTGGGGAGGGTTTATTAGAATTTTATGGGATTATGGACATAGTTTTCATTGAATTAATTTATTTAAGTTTATAAAAATGTTGTTTAACTTTGAATGACACAATTTCTGAATAGATGATATTTAAAATATATTTCTTTTATGTACATTTAAAAGAAAAAATTAAATAGTTCATGCTTCAGCATGAAAGTCGGTCGGCTCGACCGAAGTAACATCACGGTTTCACAGAAATGACGTGAAACCACGCTTGCGTTGTGTTGCGTCGTGTGGGTGAGGTTGCCGGAGGCCTAGTTATACCCTCCTACCCCAATTCCTGAATCCCCACCAATCCTTAAATTCCTAATCCCCAACCCAAAAGGCCGGTAACGCACTTCTAAAGCCTGTATTTTGCTTCTAAAGCTTTTACCTGCGGTTTCACTCGCGTTACAAAAGGATAAAAAGGAGCCTATGTGACATATACCAATACACACAGCGCCATCTATACCAATACTTTTGTTTTTCCTTGGGAATATAACTTTTTTCCGGGATAAAAAGTACCCTATTATTTAATCCGAACTTCTAACTGTACGTCAGCAAAAATTCAAAGCAATCGGTTTAGTAGTTACGGCGTGAAAGCGGAACAAACAAACAAACTCACTTTCCGATTTATAATATTAGTAAGGATTAGTAAGGATTCATATCTTTTTCAATGAAAGAACAAAGACATGTTGCTTTATAATCTAATCTTATTACAAGAAGGCACAAAATTAATTGGCACAATGACAATGGCTTGTTAAACTGCGTCATAGACACATTATTTTATTTATTAAGTTTTAAGATTTCCTATAGTTTTATTACATCTGTGGGGTAATCAATGGATGTTCTTAGTCTAGAATTGAATTCAATTTATCTTCAACTTCATTTTCAACTTTAATACAAGACAATAAGGTGGAGATTCTATAAAGAACTAGCTTCTGCCCGCGACTTCGTACGCGCAATCCCGATATTTCCCGCTCCCGTTCTTGATTTTCGGAAAAAAGTTAAAAAAAAGGGATTGGGTAAAAAGTATCCTATGTCCGTCTCCTGGTTCTAAGCTACCTCCCCACCAATTTTCATCCAAATTGATTTAGCCATTCTTGAGTTATAAATAGTGTAACTAACACGACTTTCTTTTATATATATAGATGACATCTATCCTCTTCCATGTACAATTAGAAGTAGGTTAAGGATTAATTATTAATTTTATTCCTTGTAAAAAAGCAAACATGCATATTTTAAGACACATCATCATCATCAACAGAGTGGCCACTGCTGTGCAAAGACCTCTTCTCGCACAGAGAAGGTTTGAACATAAATCACCACACTTGCTCAATGCAGGTTGACAATTTTAAGACACACACATATTTAAACAGTTTCATTATAGTACATATCAGCCCATTTCCATATAATACACACACTATAAGTACTCTAATTATTTACAACAATTTCTTGGAAGTATTTTTATACAATCATCAACAGATTATAAATGTCCACTGCTGATCAAAGGCCTCTTCTCGCACGGAGAAGGTTTGAGCATAAATCACCACACTTGTTCAATGCAAATCAAACTTATATTTAGATAATACAAGCCTAGGTTTTGTGAAAGGTAAACACTACTAAGCTTACTTTGAAACTGAATTAAAACAACCCATTTTTAAATTATAGTTGAATATTAAGTTGTTGCATAGATACAATAACAATAGTTGTGCTATTCTATACTAAAACAAGTTTTACAGACAAGGATATTGATGGTATGAATTTTAACTTCCTTTTTTATATGAGGAAAACATTGATATGTCAGTTTGATGCTTTCATGAAAGGGCAACTAGTTGATTTTTTAAACAATATTTTAACTGATATTAGGGTATATGTTTTAAAAGACAGAATAAAGAATTCATATTGTGTTTTCTTCTTCGCAAATGGCAATCGAGTCTCCAAATTCATATTTTAATAATATGATTATGTCACCAGAGTTTAGACCACTTTCAATGTGGTATGAAACCTCTTTAATCAAATTAATTAAATACAAAAATCAAAATACTATTTTGTACATTACCTGCACATAAGTAAACACAGGATTAAAATCAAAAGCCATTGCAATTATTGAAGCTTACTTTCACAATCTTCTAAAAACAATATTAACTATTATTTACAGATAAGAAAATAAAAAACAACTGAACTACAGACTATCATAAAGGTGACTAATAGAAGAGATAATACAATGACTTATTTCAGTTGGGGCATTGATTCAGTAATTTAATTAAGTTTCAAGGATCATTCAATGAGAAATCAAGTTCCATAGAATGTCAGACACTTGTGAAAAACACTACAAACAATTCTCGTGCAAAATGTGTGTAATAATGGTAATAAGCGGTAATTAATTGTAATGAATTAGCATCACCACCATAAGGTTGCTGGAATGTTGTAAATTCCATAATTTCTCGTCATGCAGAGGGGCGTCAACGTTTCGCCGGGCCGCCGGGGGGCGGACGCAAACACAACAAGTTAATAAAACAGGATTCCAATAAGATACCTGGACCGCAGACGCGAAAAGATCTTCGTCATCCCTATTATCATTGTTGATATCCACTGTGCTAAAGGGCGGTGTATCTGGCTCTTCCGACATCGTTAATTTGTTTTAGATGTCGACACACTCACAAATTACACCACGAACAGTTATAGCTTCTAATCAAATTTTTCCCGAAAACAGCGAGATAACTTTCCGATACCAAGATTCGCTTGACAGAAATGAACAACCCCCTTTCTGTAATTATAACTATAAATTATATAGGATTTTTAACATTACAGAAATGATATGCAACATAAATCAGTACAGAATGAAAGAGATAAAAAATGCCCCATGTTAGAAATATGCGGTATTTCGCTATGGAACTCGTCAATGCCACTGTCAGATTTTTAGTGACGTATTCAATTCTGTTTACAAATACAGATTCAATCAAGTTGGAAAATCGTTATTATGATAATTTTATAAAAAATTTACAATTCTTATTAGATTTGTCTAAAAGTAAATTATTTATAGAATATCAGATTGATGGTTAGTAAACCAAAATTACGAAGATTGTAATGCTGCAATGTGGCAAAAATTACGTGTCCTTTTTAATAACAAAACGTAAGCCTCTCTTTCTTTATCAGCTGTCAAATCATTAAAAAAAAGTAATCCACTAAAATATTGTTTTTGTTGTGAAGGTAAAATATGTTTTACTTATTTATTTGGTGATTTGTTATAATAACTGAAGAGAATTATAGTCACTGTTTCATTTTTTAGCCTTTTCAATTTACAAAAGGTATGTTAGGATATGATTTTGATGATATTTTCGTGTATTTTAGAGTAGTGTAAGTGATAGTGGAACATGAGTGGGTTGGATAAGAAGCCGAAGATCCCGCAACCGCCGGCACCTGCAGGTAGCTCGGGGAACTTGCTGTCGAGCGTGGCACCTCCATCGCAGCTGCCTAACTTTGTAACTGCGACTCCTGTAGTCCCAGCTGTTGAGGTAGAATGACATTTATTTACATATTTTACGACTTTAGAAGTAAAAGTTTAGTGTTAAAGTTAGTGTGACGTATATACAGTATAAGTTTATTTTCCTTGTAGTTGAGCTTTCTACTTTGTAATCTTATTTTTCTAATGTTCTTTTATAAAAAATTTGGCTATGGTTGCAGGTCCCTCAGGCAGCAGTAGGGCAGCCAATCGCAGCGCCCCTGCCTGTAGGCGGTCAGCCAATCCCAGCCCCTCTGCCAGTGAAGCCTATCATAGTACAAGGAAGGGATGAACCTCCTCCACAGGAGGACAATGCCGAGAAATTTAGGTATTTCACTTATTAATATTGTACAATTGTGAATCAGGAAATGATATCATAGATTTATAGATAACAATAACATGTAGAAATTAATGTGTTGGATATTGCTTCATTTGTTTGTAAACTTTTATTACCAGTCACTTTAATTTTTTTTAACTGGTATGACAGAAAAGTGTACAATTTCTTTTTATGCATTTGCATGATACAAAATTTCTAGTTTCTAAACCTTTGTAGTTGCTAGTGTAGTTGAATAAAAAGATTATTAACTTTTCAAGTGCCTGTACATGAGAAACAATACAAAATACATTGTGTCTCTCATTGATGTAGGTACGTTCCGGCACACCACGAGTTAAGAAAATCAATGTTATAATTTCATTGGTTTCAGTCCTGCAATCCCGCTAGGCAAGGGAGAACCAGTGATGTCAATAAGGTCTCCTGAAGACTCACAGGCCTCACAGTCTCCAGAGTCATTGCCAGACTCCACTTCGGAGATTGACAAACTTGGTAAGATTACTAGCAATTTTCTTAACTTTAAAAATTGTATGATCTCAATTACTGGATAGGAAGGAAGGATAGGAAGATAAGATCTCGATAGGAAGTACTGTCAAGGTAATATTTTAGAATAGTTTGACCAGGTTGGTTAGAGCTCCTTCACATTAGCGTTTGTCCAGCATAGATGTTCGGTAAACGATAGCATTTGTCCAGTGTAGATGTTCAATAAACCCTAGTGTGAATGCACTCTTACAGTCACGCTTCCAACAACTTGATTCAAAAGAAGTCCTTATATGATGTGTCATTAACATAACTATTTTTGATTCATGAGTAACTAATTAACCACTTGAAAATTGATGAAAAAAATCCCCTAAATTTGTTCATACAAAAGTAGTCTCTAACCATTGGAAATAAGGTCTATAATGTAGTTAGTGGAGAGCGGTCACGGTGACCGCTTGGGGATATATATATGGGTTAATTTGTTACCAGGTGACATAATGCCGGGAAGTGGTCTGCTCACATGGATGAAAGGAGCGGTGTCCACCGGAGGGATACTGCAGCGTGTGGCTGAGAAGGCAAAGAGCTCTGTCGACTCCATGATCACAACACTTGACCCACAAATGAAGGAGTATCTGAGTAAGTGCATTAATTAGTTTATTTTTTATCGTTATGTTTCATCCTTACTTATATTATAAATCGGAAAGTGAGTTTGTTTGTTTGTTTGTTCCGCTTTCACGCCGTAACTACTAAACCGATTGCTTTGAATTTTTGCAGACGTAAAGTTAGAAGTCCGGATTAAATACTAGGGTACTTCTTATCCCGGAAAAATTTTATATTCCCGATGAAAAACAAAAGTGTTGGTATAGATGGCGCTGTGTGTATTATATGTCACATAGGCTCCTTTTTATCCTTTTGTGACGCGAGCGAAGCCGCCGGTAAAAGCTAGTTTTAAATAAACCTTGCCCTATCAATGATGCAAAAAAAAAATTATTCATTTTCTGTTACAGGAAGCGGTGGGGATCTTTTAGTGGTGGTAGCGTCAGATAAAGAAGTAAAAATATCACCGATCAGAGATGCATTTCAAACTGTCTTTGGAAAAGCTAATGTGGTGTAAGTATACATACTTTGTTTGGTATTTATTTATGTTTGAGCTGACTGACCAAAAGGTTTACAGAGTGGGAATGGAACCCTCGATACACTGACGGGTGATCGTAAAAAATAGGTTTAATTTTCATAAAATTAACGAATTATATGTTTCTTTTATGTAATAATAGCTGTAATTAACTGCTCAAGGGTGATGCTGCATGAAAAACACGAACACAAAAACGATTAGAATACGGTAGTTGACAGGTAGTCAAATTGAATACTTTTATTGAAATGTCAAAAACGATACTTTTCTATGAATTTTGTATTGGATCGCAACTTATAACCAAACTAAACTTACAACTAAATAACATAGTTATTTCCTTAAAATTAGCGCGAAAACGTATAAAATTTTCAAATCAATGGATGAGAGTATGATTATTTTTTAATTACTTATTGCATTGTAAAGTTGAAAAAAAAAATTAAACCTAATAAACTAGCCAATAGTAAAAACAGCAGCGTTTTGAGAGTGTTTCGTTTACAACCTGTATTTGCCCCTATTGATTAAATGAAACAATTAACTATCAACCTAAATCCTAACACAGTACATTCCAAATTCCAGTGGCTATGCAGCTCAAAGCGAGGTGACAGCGGAGCAGCCAGTAGGGTATGCGGCCGCGTACGCAGCGGCCAAGCAACGTATCGCACACGTACGGTCTGTGCACGGAGACCTCAATAATAATGTACCCGTGGTGGCCGTGGAAGGGTTCCTGCACGAGTCTGTTACTGATAGGTATGTATGTGAGATACTATTGGATAATAAATAAACAGATCCAAATTGCTGAGGTTGAAATTGGTAAAGGTGGACTTATTTATTTAAAAAAAGTCAATAGCTTCGCTTTCGTTAATGGGTAAAAAGTATTTTATAATGTTCTTTGATACTATTATGCTAAATGGGGCCTACCCTATTTTGCCTACTAGATGGCGCTAGTGTTAATCTCTTATTATTCGCCCAATAGGGAATCCTTACTTCCTTATTCCTTATTCCTTACTTATATTATAAATCGGAAAGTGAGTTTGTTTGTTTGTTTGTTTGTTCCGCCTTCACGCCGTAACTACTAGACCGATTGCTTTGAATTTTTACAGATATAAAGTTAGAAGTCCGGATTAAATAATATGGTACTTTTTATCCCGGAAAATATGATATAACCGAGGGAAAACAAAAGTTTTGGTATAGATGGCGCTGTGTGTATATGTATATGTGACATTGGCTTTTTATCCTTTTGTGACGCGAGCCAAGCCGCGGGTAAAAGCTAGTTGGATAATAAATAAACAGAGCCAAATTGCTGAGGTTGAAATTGGTAAAGGTGGACTCATTTATTAAGATGACTTCTGTCAGTAGCTTCGCTTTCGTTAATGGGAAAAAAGTAGTTAATAATATAATGTTCCGGTCATCATATTAACCTCTTTTCGAAGTTTAACTAAGTTTAATACTTTTTTCGGTAGTTTTTTACGTCAAAGAGTAAAGAACATTTATACATCATACATAATAATTATTCTAGGATCGTACAGTGTGGTAAGGATCAGATTTCAATACTTTATGTATACTATTGTGCTAAATGGGGCCTACCCAATTTTATTCACTAGATGGCGCTATTGTTATCCTCTTATTCTTCGCCCAAAGGGGAATTAGCTCTAGTTGGGTCATTACAAACGTGCGAACTGGCATTCATTTTTATCAGTTCTCTCGCTCACACTTGTGCGATGCGAGTTATTGTGCGGCATCCTTTGACGTGAAAGTTCGCAGGTCTGTAAAGGCCCAAATATAGTGTCAAACCATTGGACGTTCAATATTTGACAGCTGCAGTGATTGGACAAAAATACCCATACTTACATTTGCGACAAAAAAAAAAAGTTAACCCCCGTTATATTGGAAAATTCGCTTTAGATTGTAACTTTAACAACAATCTCCTTATTTTTGCGTCCCGTCAGATGGTACGAGATGTCCCTGATGGTGCTGTCGCAGCCGTCGCTGGGCATCGAGCTGCAGCAGGTGTCGCAGGGCACGGCGGTGCCGGCCGCCGCCGTGGCCGCCGCCGCCGCCGCCACGCCCGCCCACTACCCGCACGCGCAGACTGGGTACAGCGTCACCATCGGCTCTATTATGGCCGCTAGCTTACAGGTAAACAATATATTAATATTGTCTTACTTTTACTAAGGGAAAAATCGATTAAGGGACTGCCAATAAAAAGCTGCTGAAGGCAAATCATCCGCTAACGTAGGTCACCGCTGATCCCTATGGCGTTTAGGGCCGATTTTTCCAACGCCAGTTAATTTTTATCACAGGAATAAGTTTAAATATTTGTCATCGTCCATACTAACAACTGTTAACCGTCAATTTTATTCAGTACAGGGCCTCTAGCCAAACGCCACTTTAGCGCTTGTCTACAGTGAGAGTAGATATCAAAATGTATGGGGATGACACTGACAAGTGTCAAAATTTACGTCAATTCCATATAATTTGGTTTTCTATTCTACATGTAGACAAGCGCTAAATGGCATTTGGCTAGAGCTGCTGTTAAGAATTAACTGTTTGTTGAAAAATTGACCCCCAAAAAGTCTGAGACGAAGAACTTGTGAGGTATTGTTGAATTTATTGATTTTGGTCTTCGGTTAATGGTTCACTTGCTGCAGTGCACAATGCGAAATAGTGCTAGCAGGTTTTCTTTTCTTTCTGAACGATTAGGTGTCATGTAATACGTTAATACTTCGCCTGCGAGATGACGTACGTACATAATTATTTTCAATAGATCGTAGTGAAAGCGTAATATATGGTAGCAAAAACATAAGCAAAATAACAGAAGCAAAATTCACCTTATTTCAAATGTGCAATTTTTCAGACTATTTCGTTGGCCGAGTGGTCGCAAGTGCGACTGCCGGGCAACGGGTCTCGGGTTCGATTCCCGGGTCTGGCAAAGTGTTACTGGGTTTTAAAAAGATCTCTCTCTCTCTGGAAATGTGCCCGGTATATGGCAATAGGCTCACCCCCTATTACATGGGACTCATAACATAAATAGTGAAAAGTGAGTGATATATTGTACATACATAGGCATTAAGTCCGTAATGTGCACCCTTGCCTACTCCTTCGGGGATAAAACGCGTGATGTTATGTTATGCAATTTTTTCTGCAGTTTGTTTTCTTTGTCAAGTACTTTTTTAAAAGTAAATTTTACGAACAAAAAGAAATAAATTCTTTTTTTGTAAGTTTTTATACCTATTTCCTGTTTCTTAGGTCCCCCACACACAATGGCAGGAGTCCTCAACAGGAGTGTCTCGACGGGAACTACTTCTACTGACGGCGCGCTCGCTGGCTGGATCATACAAACGACTGCTCGCCGTCTCTGCTAACGAGGCGTAGGTGATGATGGACGGAAGGAAGGAAGGAAGAGATTAGACTTATGTACAGTTATTACAGTTAGTATCTGATATCTGCATCTATTTATTTATTTACTACAGGTATACCAACAGCTTTTGTATACATAGTATAATAGTATTAAGAAACTAGCTACTTCCACGCGGTTTCACACGGTTTGCTCAGCTCCTATTGGTCGTAGCGTGATGTTTTATAGCCTATAGCCATCCTCGGTAAATGCGCTATCCAACACAAAAAGAATGATTCAAATCAGACTTGTAGTTACGGAGATTAGCGCGTTCAAACAAATAAACAAACTCTTCCGCTTTGTATAATAGTAATAAGATAACATAGGTAACAATAGCTATTGGGCCTATATAGTCGCCAAATATACGTTAACCAACTTTACAATTCAGTGATAAAAAACTATACAAACGTAAACTAAACCTTTTTTACATGAATTGTAATTGAGTACTTGTTTGTTACAACTAGTCAAATTCAATACTTTTTCCGAACTGTCTAAAACAACAGATTTTTTTATAAATTTTAAGAGATTGTGTATTGTGACGTCACGTTTTTATAGCGTCAAACACCGTACAATGTGAAACATTTGCTAGAAAAATACTAAAATTAAGTTAGTCATAAAATCAATTAATGAAAGTATAAATAAAAAATTATCACCATTTTTTGTATTCAACGTATTCAACAGTCAAAATGATTTATTTTTGATTAAGGAAAGTACCTACCTAATTTATTCAATAAAGTCCAGGTTTCCTTACGATGTTTTTTCTTCATTGTATGCCAATACAGTATTTATTGTTTTGTTTTAAATAAGTCTTATTGACATTTATCTTTCAAAGATATTAAATAAATATTGTCTTTGTTACAGGGACTAGAGAAGAATGTAAAGAATCTATAGTAGATTATATCATAAATTATACCTAACTAATTATAATTATTATTATAACAATGTATAGATAAGATTTATTATACGAATAAAATTTATTTGGGGCCAACTGTGTTTTCTTACTTAGAAAAATATTATAGATATTTATTCTTATATATATAATTCTGCTGTACGTGTACGTATGTCATTGAACTCCTCCTAAACGGCTTGACCGATTTAAATATTTTTTTTCTGTATGCGTTTGAGTGGCGCCCTACCCTAGATGGTTTAGATTCACAAATCGGCCCGCTGCAGTCGTGTCTAAGTTATTTATCCTAAACGGCTGAACTGATTTTTGTTTATACATTCAAGTTGATATGCACGACAACGTCTGTCGGGTCCGCTAATGTAGCTATAAATATCAAATTCTTATGTATATGTGTATGCTATTGAACTCGTAAATGGCTGGACTGATTGAGATGTTGTTGTGTACGAATTTAAATGAGTTCTGAATGATTTTGTTAAGCATGTAAACTGCCACAAGATTAAGTAAGATCTAGTTTATTATATTTCGCCTGTCTGTCGGTACGGTCGAGTTCGTTGATCGCGATGAAAGGTCGCAAGTACAACTACCGACCTCGGCAGCAATTTGCCAGATTTTTTTCAGTGTTCCGAAAACATTCTCAGTAATGGCATAGAGTCTGGAGTACTACAATGAACTTTGAAAATAACTGGTGATAATGCTTAATTTCTGTTTACCCCTTCGAGGATTAAAAGGTATGACGTTATGTTTCTATTCATATAAATATTTTTATTTAATACTAGCTAAGTCTGCGACTTCGTCCGCGTGAAATAGTGATTCACAGCTCCTCCCCCGTAGTTAATAGCAAGCATATATGTTGACCCGACCTGTTAGTAATATTCATGCAAGAAGTAAATCCATGCAGCACTTTTTGAGTTCATTTCGGACATACATACCTACAGCCAAAGAGATAAAAATTCTAAAAACCATATTTTTGGTTTCTGTATCAACTGCAGATCACGTCGCAAGCATTCTTTAAAAAAATATTCGATGTAAGAAAGAAAGAAAGAAAGAAAAATCATTTATTCGACAGTAGGCACGCACACAGATACAAAAAAATACAAAATTAAAAAAAGAAAAGAACAAATAATTACACTTATTTATACAGATATAGAAAAAAAACACAAAGAAACGACAACGTATAACAAAACAGCGATGTACAGTTTTCACCTTCCCACGATTTTAATATATGTAGGTATCTATAGATAGATATTTTGTTTTGACGAAGCATGTCATTCAAACTTCATAGTAAAAAATGTGATCGCTGCGTCCTGCGTCAGTGCATCTTGTATTTTTTGCTAAGTATAGCAATTTTATTATTCGAATTTTAATGAAGACTTGTAAGGTTATTGACCTGGGTCACGTTTTTTTAAATGTAGAATAAGTACATCAATGTACCTACAGACGACAGCAACTCAACCTATTCCTTTATGCGATTGTCAACGTTCATCTTTTGTTATAAAATCGAAATTACAATGAAAAATTTACAGATTCGAGTAGGTTAGTTAGCTGGTCTCCGTGTATTAGTGTTCCAGCTTCTACACAAAATGTTGTTGATCAACATTGAATCTACTGAATGCGACTATTAGGTTTATTTTGTATTGTCGTTAATTGCCGAGGTTCGAGTGAGCTCAAAGGGAATGGGATTAGGATTCAAAACAGTGTATGTCAATTAACCCGGCGAGCATGATCCAGGGTATCTCATACCCTGTTAAAATTTAAAAGTGCTGTACATTTTAAAATCCTCGTCTGGCGACACTAGATCGGTTAGTAGCTGAAGGTAGGGGCGTGCGGGACCGGGTAGTGGCGTGATTGCAGTGTGGCGCGAGGCATCGGCGAAGTTATACGTGCACAAACTTGTCTCGGGTATGTTTTACCCTGCCTCATTTTTGACATATTTATTTTACGTAATGATTTATGAATGAATTTTAACTGTTTTATTAGTTTTTTTTTTTCAATAATTTCAGATTTTGTTGCTTTTTGTTTGTTGTTTTTAGATTTTTGTTATTTCTTTATTATTTTACTATATGAATTTGTTATTCGTTCATTTATTGAACATTTCCATTATTTTATTTTTTTAGTTTTTGACTAAAATGGATATTGAAAGTCAAGAGGAACAGATTCGTGCTATGTTGGAAGAGGCAGCAACTGATTCTTCTGGAGAATCCAGTTCAGAACAAGACTCTGATCATTGTAGTGAACATGAAGTGAATTCTGATACGGAGCAAGAAGGTGATGATTCAACAAGCTTGCAGCTCGGTGAACCCTCACCTAGACCTACAATTGCACCCAGACGATATGTCAGATGCCCGGATTATCCATATTAGAAGGACAAAAAACTAAACATTCCTGCAATGCGTGTGGCAAGCCCATATTTATGTTTGGAACATGCAAAATATATTTGCGAAAATTGTGCTGATCTCAACAGTGCTAATTAATCCTATTTCAAAAAAAAAAAAAAAATTATTAGTTTTTTACGAGGTGGATCTCATTATCTTTTAGTTTTAAGTTGATTTCCATTCCAAAGAACAATAATTTTGTTGAATTCTTAATTTTTGTAAAACCTTATTACTTTGTTCCTAAAATTACATCGTATAAATAAATATGAATAAAACATTATTATTTAAAAAGAACTTCTTTCATTTAACTCCATTAAATAATTCATTATTTTACAAAATAAAATCAACAAAATAAAAATAATAATAAAAATAACTATATTACGGTACATTCAGATAAGGGTATGTCACACCCTGCCACATTCTTGAAGTAACTTTTTTTCGCCTCATGCTCGCCGGGTTAAGTGCTTATACGCTCGAACGCATTGAAAAGGTACGTAGATGGGGAATCATTACAAATTGGTAATTTCCAGGGTATCAAAATTAAAAATCTAATTAGTCCGTCAGTTAGATAATGAAAAAATATTAGACACGTATTTTTATTTTCTTTCTCGTATTAAGCTGCAATACTTAAATAAAATGGCGCTAAGTTTAGAAGTCGGGAGGTCGTTACGTCATAACGTGCTACAAAATGTGGCACGCTGTGACGTCACACGATATTTCAAATTAACATATCGTCGAAAGTATTTAATTTTGTAAGAAAAGAAAAAATACGTGTCTAAAGTTTTAAATTAATGTAGCAGACGGACATTAAAATAAAATTTAGGAAACTATCCTATTAGAGATAGATACTGTGAAATCTACTTCATTTTAGCCCCGAGGTAAAATGTTTCTGTTTTGGTGGGTAATACAATAGTTTTACAAAGCAATAAAAATCTTTGCATGCCAGGTGAAGGCAAAATATGGAGAAACTGTAAACTTTGTTAACACCTATATATTATGTACCCATGTTTGCAAATGATTAAATGAATATGAATATGAATAAAAAAATAGCCGCGGAGGACTTAACGGGTTGCCGGGGCTCCGGCTCGTGGGCAGGAGTAGGAACGGGGTGGTTTTTAGTCAGTAAGAGTCTGACACTCCCTCCCGCCTTACCCAGGCAGGAGCAGTCATTCCATTTTTTTACCCTTAAAAAAAAAACAAACATTAAAATGTTTAAATAAAAAGTAACTGGTGTACTGTTGCTAAAAGCAAACTTTGCAAGCGCACACGAACTTCATACTTCTACATTATCAAAACACCATGCCATGTAATTCTCGAAGAAGTAGGTATTTCTCGTTGGGTAGCGAGTGCGATGGGAATAATGCCTACAAAATGGTTTTTAAAAATTCACAGTAAATAGTAGCAGGGAGAATAGGGTAGTTTCATAAATTATATTTTATTGTCCGTCTGGTACATTAATTTAAAAATTTAGACACGTATTTTTTCTTATCTCACAAAATTAAACAATTTCTACGATATAATAATTTGAAATATCGTGTGACCTCACAGCGTGGTACATTTTGTAGCACAGAATGACGTAACGACCTCCCACTCCTAAACTTAGCGCCATTTTATCGAAGTATTGCAACTTAATACGAGAAAATAGAAAAATACGTGTCTAATATTTTTTCATTATCTAAATGACGAACTAATTAGATTTTTAATTTTGATACCCTGGAAACCACCCAATTGAGCCTGTGTATGGCAATAGCTTCACTCCATTTATTTTAACTGGCGTAATAATGTTTGTATTACCACCTATGGTTACCCTTTGGAAATGAATTAATAGGCGTGATGTTCTATTGAGTCTTAATAATAATAATTATTGTAAGTATTATACTCGTGCGTGACCTACTACTATACTTTTTGGTTAACAAATCAATTCATTAAAGCAATATAAAACAAAATGAATACATACCACCATTGTGATGTTTTGTTTTTATTGTAAGTTATTTATTTTATTGTATTATTTTATTAAGTATTTACCTATGTTGTCACATAGGAATTTACATTGTCATATTGTTATGTTTTGTAAATAAATAAATGAACAAATACTTAGCAGGCAAGCCTTAGCGCATATTTCGAGGCAATGTCTTTGCAATCATTTTCCTCTATAGGGCATATACCTCAGCTCGCTTACATTTAACTCAACGTTTATTGAACTCTGTACTCTAGTAGAAACAGGTTTAAGTTTATTTTTCCTCTGTCGCATATTTTATGGGATATTCATGTAGCTTCTTCGTTCATATTTTAGTCTCGCACTGTTTGTGATCGTTGCAACAAGTTTCTTGACATTGATAGTCGTTTATTCTTTTTTTTGAATTTGAAATTCTGTTCGTCAGGTGAGTTTTTAAAAATATCTTATGGTCGTTTTTTTTTTATATGTTTGATGTAGGTATAAAACCTATTACGTTTTTGTTTTCTATTTTTTTTAATAACAATTTCAGATATTTCTAGTGATAATATCATAATTTAAAGATATTAATAATTATTTTTTTATTCTTTTATTTGTGAATGTGTGAACTTAATAATCTTATTTCGCTTACGACAAGAAAACCGTTCATTTTAATATTTTTTTTAAAGTGTATAAGCACAAGAGATTTTTTTATTTACTCATTCTCAATAGATAGCCTACTAACCCACCTAATTTATTTACAGTACCTAGGTATTAGATATACATTAAATGTGAAAGTGAGTTTGTTTGTCATTGTTTAACGTCGCAACAGAGCGATTTTGTCGAGTGATTTTAGTGTTTTTACTTGGAGATAGGTCATAGAGACCACTGACCCTATACCATAGTATCAGGGGCGGATTAATAGAGCGCTCTAGCTAGGCAAGCACTTCATAGGTGGCCCTATTTTTTTTGGTGCCACGCCGTTGCTCTTTTGTCTGTTTGACGTCTCGCGGTGCCTCTCTGTAAACGTGCGCCCTAGGCATTTGCCTAGTCGCAGAGAACCTAACGGGTTACCGGGGCTCCGGCTCGACGTGCAGGAGAAGGAACGGGGTGGTTTTTAGTCAGTAAGAGTCTGACACTCCCTCTCGCCTCACCCAGACGGGAGTAGTCATTCGATGATTTTCCCCCCTTAAATAGCACTTGCCTAGTGTTGCCGGGGCTCCAGCTCGAAGTGCAGGAGTAGGAACGGTGTGGTTTTTAGTCAGTAAGAGTCTGACACTCTCGCCTCACCCGGGCGGGAGAAGTAAAAAAAGGCGATTGTCTAACTAGACATTTTATTCAGTAACAGAGAATTATGGGTTTCATCGTTTTTGAAAAAAGGACACTCTTTAGTATTTAGGTGTCTACTTATTAAACAGGTACTTATTTACTTGCCATGTTACCTGTATTCTGCCCACGTGGTTAAGAAAAAAAATGTAGCCTATACGGAGCCATATTATGCCTAAGGCTAGTTAGCCTTATTAGTCAATTGTCTAGTTAGACAATCGCCTTTTTTAATTTTTTTACTTCTCCCGCCCGGGTGAGGCGAGAGTGTCAGACTCTTACTGAATAAAAACTACCCTATTCCCACTCCTGTTCTATGCCGGGGGCCGCAGTATAGTTCCACTGGTATTTCAATACTTAGTAGACCTCTCATTATATGTTCTGTTTTTTTTTAAATAAACATTGCCCCACAGTATGATTGCCTCCTGTGTCGTGGGTGCGTTTACAAACTTACAAGTTTACATACATATGACATACAGACCCGAAACAACAATCTGTGGATCCTACAAAGAGTTGCTTCGTGCTGTAATCGAACCCCGCTACACGTAGCGCGACAGCCGGTTGTCCAGCCACCGTACCACTATAATATATCTGTGGCACCAACCGTGTAGTAGTTAGAGTAGCTGTCTAAGTAATCAGATACCTACTCTATTAACCATAGATATAATATTCTGTGCTATTTACCTATTTCCATAACCTACTCCATATAGGTAAGTCATTAGTTAATTAGGTGACTATTAGTTAAACGGTAAATATAAGTGTTTTTATTTATAACTGTTGGTAGTTGTGCGCTCTGATTGGCCAGCTCTAATGAACCAACCAATCAGAGCGTCGAACGCGGTCTCGATTACTTTAAACGTAAAACAAACCTTCACACATTAACAATTCTATAAAAATCCGTTACAATTTGAAATATGTCTAACTGTCCTTTTAATTTTCTTTACAGTAAAAATGAAGGTGATATTATTGTTTTCGTTCCTGGCTGTGGCTTCCAGCTATCCTATCGTGAAGACATGGACCCTCACTGAACTGTCCACAGCCATTGAGACCAAGCAAGTGGGCCCTGACATGATGCCATACCTGGAGGCAGCTCTCAACGAGATCATGTATGGACTGTTTACGGGTAAAACTGATGTAAGTTATCTTTTACGATTGTTAAGGTAGGGTTAGATTCGACCAATCCCCAAACCATCAGTGATACCAAGGATACACAAATGTCCCACGACATTGTATCAGCGAGGCGACATTGTGTCCCCTAGTGTATCCTTGGCTTAAGAGTGCGTAAGAGAACACCCAAACTAACCTCTTAAGTACTTGTTTTGGGAAGTGTCATTTATGGATTGGTTTAAACCAAAATATCGTTAAGTGTCATATCTAAACTTGGGGGTTCCTTAAAATATAAGAGAAGAATGTGGATTATAATACTTACTAATTACTTTTTATAGGTAGGTCTGGTATTTATCGAAAGAACGTTACCTAAATATAGCGTCCAAACATTAATATCTACGCATTTATTTACCCAAATGTATGTAAAATAACGATATGTATTCACGCACACAACAAAAACAACAGCTTACGCAACTTGTAGTTTTTGTGTATTTTCTAAAAAAAAAATGTGTGATTAATAATGTTTACGTAGACGTGACAAAAATTATAAAAAGCCAGTAGTTGGCATGCTATTAATTATCACCATTTGAAGGCCATTATTGACAACAACCGACAGACAAGAAATATTTGTCAACCAATCTGTTAATAACACGCCGTGGCAGAGCAAAACATATTGTCTCACTGCCCCTACTCTTCCCTAATCTTAAAGATGGGCCCAGTAGGGCTGATGCCTATACAGAGCGCGGAAAGCCTAACGGGGTGCCGGGGCACCGGCTCGAAGTGCAGGAGTAGTAACGGGGTAGTTTTTAATCAGTAAGAGTCTGACACTCCTTTTCGCCTAACCCAAGGGGAGAAGTCATTTAATGATTTCCTCCCTTAAAAAACCCCTTCTGTTCTTGCGGGTGTTGTAAGAGTTTACATAATAAGTATACGTATTTATAACAATCTGGGCAGAAGCGATTTTTTTATGGCATAAGCCGGTAAACGAGCAGATGGATCACCTGATTGTACGCAATCGCCGTCGCCCATGGACACCTGGAATACCAAGGCGTTACAAATGCGTTACCGGTCTTTTGGGAATTGGGAATTTGAGGATTGTGGAGGATTCGGGATTCGGGAGACTGGGGAGGGGGGCAATTGGGCCTCGAGTTAGTTCAATCACACGACGAAACTCAACGCAAGCGTTGTTTCACGTCGGTTTTCTGTGAGGTCGTGGTATCACTCCGGTCGAGACGCCCCATTCGTGCCGAAGCATGAACTATTAATTTTTTCCCCAACGCTTTCTGATATTTAATCCTAATTCTTTTATACTGTGATCTCCAACAGCGTGCCAAGCGTGAAGATTATGGAAAACCCCTGTTTTGTAGACTGGGCTCACCGTTACCGTGACAATTTTTTTTTAATAGCTTAGAACGAGACATTTGTTTATTTAGATTCAGTCAGGCATCTAGTAGTTTCTTCCTATTATAGAACCTGTAAACACATTCTTAAGTACCTAATTGGAAGTTGCAAGTCCAAGTACACGACGTGTAGTTGCATTACGATCACGCGACAGCCAGTATGATAATTACAAAAAACATATAGTTTATTTTCATATACATATTTGTTTAGCTGGCACTAATTTTTTAATTATTTATCTACCATTTAATGGGGAATAGGTAGTAACGAATTATTTTATGCATCGAATAAATTAATTACCTTATTAATGATTACAAATTATACAAAATAACAGATGTTATAAGTCAATAGGGTAAAGCTAAAGGTCAAAATGTGTATAGTTAAAGATGACGTTATATTTTAGCTAACTCATTTGTACAATTTCAATAAAGTAAATAGTGTCTTAAGACAGTTGTTTAAGATACAGAATTAATTAATTTTAAATGTTATTTAAACCCCAAGGGATGCGTAATTCTAAGGATTTTTTGACCTAACTGTGAAGTTATGGGAAGAGAGACTTCTTTGGTCATTCGTTTTCCTGTTGATTATGCTGATATCAAATAGATACCTTTATAAAATCCTAAAATAATTTATCAACTCAAAAACTGTATTCTTCCGACAGTCCATCCACGCAGCCATTCCATCACCAACAGGAGCTGATACCTGGACCGTGCAGGAGTTGAAGCAAGCTCTTAAAGATTCCAGCGTGAGGCCTGAGTACCGTCCAGCGCTGTTGCAGGCACAGGCCTTTGTGGAGCACAAGAATGAAACTGGAGAACTAGAGGTAAGATGAAAGTCATGTCTAAATAATTTATTTCATGACTTGCGAAGATGAAGGCGTAAAACAATCTAAGTAACCCATAAATCCGCAATAATACTTTGCTCAACCCGGGAATAAAATCTCTTGCTTGGCAGTTGCAATTGCGACCACTGGAAAAGGTTTAGACACAAGCCGCCATATTGAAAATAATGTGTAAAATACTTAACAACCAGTTTTCGTTAGTATAATGTTACGAATCAGTAGCAAGATTTGTCAACATCCAGTATTTTTTTGGAAAAATCCTTAAAACATTTGCATTATATGCGTGATCCGACCCGAGAGGTCTTGGTTGCCAGAGGGAATTGCAGAGAATGCTCTTATATTTTCATAGGAGCCCGTGCAAGTACTGATCCCAGCTTTAGACATTGCCACATGGAGTGAGTCCGACCTGTTGGAAGCTCTGAACAATCCCAGCACTAAGGAAGAACTCCGGCCTTTCTTGGAGAAGGCATTCAATGATCTAAGAGATGCTCAAGAAGAGGGAGAAACACGGGTATGTTTTTCAATAGAAATAGATATTTATTTGCCAAATTACAGGAACCAAATTACGTGTAGCTTTCATCTGCAGTATCACCTTCATGAAATTTAAAATATTTCTCTTAACCCGTCGGGTGCCGGAACGTAGATCTACGCGAGACACAATGCATTTTCTATTGTGTCTTATATGCCATCAGACAAGCTGTTAAGTAGCAAGTTCATTCCTACCATATTTGCAACCACCATTTTCAACCCACCAGTCCGCGGAGTAAGGAACGCCCTTTAAACATTACCGAAAATAAGAAAAGTACCACCATATTGGCAGTAGTTGGTACACATCTGTTTGATCTTAAACGTTTTCAGTATCTTGCATTCATGGCGATACGTAAAATAGATGCGAACTGTAACACGAATAACTATCGAATTCGTAATGTAATAGTATCGAGCGCGTCCATCGCTCATGATTGGTCGGCTCACTGGAGCTGGCCAATCAGAGCGCCACGAATCAGCTTTACGAATGCGATAGTTATTCGCACTTGGCACTCAGGTGGGTGGACGCCAACAGCGGTAGGTCTTGCTTCTATAAGAATATCGTGAACAAAAAATCCTACGTCATTTTCTGAAAATTTTACATCATACTGGTGAAAGAGTTTAGCAAATTGTTTCAGTGGTTTATAAGCCTATTTGAAAGAAAGAAAGAAAGAAAAACCATTTATTTTGCTACGACACACAACAAGAATTTAGAGACACAAAAAAAGCCTATGGTGCGTCGCAGCGCAAAAGGCTGGAGCTCAGCTTAATACCGTGGACCGGGCACAGAGGCTCGAGCTCATTAACTCATTTATTTAACGTAAACAAATAAACAATCAAATCTTTCCTGTTAATAATATTTTGCACCTATATATTTTCCATTTAAAATATTCAATTATATTAAACTTTTGATTTCAGAACATTGTTTACACAGTCACTCCTGTTGGTCTGATACCTCCTAAGTCTGACTACGACTTCTTACTAAAGCCATCGAAACGCCTCATCAAGAAGACTAAGAAGGGACTGTAATTAGGTAAGCAAGCGATGTGACGTCATCAGAGTCATTATTGTCCCATTTATTTATAGCTAGCTTTTACCCGCGGCTTCGCTCGCGTCACAAAAGGATAAAAAGTAGCCTGTGACATAATAATATACCAGTACACACAGCGCCATCTATACCAATACTTTTGTTTTCCCTCGGAAATATCAATTTTTTTCCGGGATAAAAAGCACCCTATTATTTAATCCGGACTTTACGTCTGCAAAAATTCAAAGCAATCGGTTTAGTAGTTACGGCGCGAAAGCGGAACAAACAAACAAACAAACTCACTTTCCGATTTATAATATTAGTAAGGATTATCAGTTGTACCATCAGTCATATTATGGATATAAATCTTATACTTAAACAAAGTTGAACATTTTGTTTAAACGCGTCAATCTCCGGTACTGCTGGTCCGATGTGAATCATTCTTTTTGTGTTGATAGTCTATTTATGTAGGAAGGCTATATGCTATAAAACATCATGTCACGACTAATAGGAGACGAGCAGAGCGGTTGATACCGCGTGGAAGTAGCTAGTCCAGGATGAAAGAAGGAAGTGGACGATATTTAAGAATAGATGCACTTGTAACTCCTCAGAAGGCTTAGTACTAGTTTATTATTTATTGAGATCAAAACGAGACCGCATTCGACGCACTAATTGGGAGGTTCTTTGGAACCGGACAATCAGAGCGCCGAAAGCGGTCTCATTTTGATCTCGGTAAAAGTAAAACAAACTTTTACTAAGGCCTCTGGGCCCATTAGGGCTGATGCCCGATACGGAGTCGCGGAAGACTTAACCGATTACGGCTCTGGCTAGAAGAGCAGGGGTAGGAACGACATAGTTTTTAGTCAATAAGAGTCTGACCATAGATATAATATTTATATTTGTTGACACTACCTCGCGCCTTTGCCAAGGTAGGAGAAGTCATTGGATGATTTTCGCCCCTTAAAAAATGCCCTCTTGTGAGTCTATGGGCGGCGTTACGCTGATTTGCATACCATCAGGCGATCTGTCAGAACATTTGCTGTACAATTCCATAAAAATAGTCTAATGTGGTAGAGTTCACAAGACTTTTCGAATTGAATAATTGGGTAGTTTCCAGGGTATCAAAATCAAAAATCTAATTAATCTGTCAGTTAGACAATGAAAAAATATTAGACACGTATTTTTTTATGTCATAACGTGCTACAAAATGTAAAGTGCACACGATATTAGAAATTATTATATTGTTGAAAGTATTTACTTTTGTGAGAAAAGAAAAAATACGTGTCTGAAGTTTTAAATTAATGTACCAGACGGACATTAAAATCAAATTTAGGAAACTACCCTATTGCTCGATAGTATATTGTCTGTTAATGCTATTTATCGTCTTTTTTATTTTCAGATTGTATTCTGTCAATGACGTGAGTGAAAGAAACAAGTTTGAACAATGAAGATGTTGTGATTTGAATTCTGATTGTACTGCAATTTTAATAAACGGATACTTAGAAAATATTGTTATGTTTTATTTGTTCCAAGTGTTTTATATGCAAGATATAATATGTAAATTGAATAGGATATTTAAGACCTACTAGCCTCAGCCGTTGTGAGAGACACTCCGGGCGTGGGGATCGCGGGACGATCTCTGGCCTCCGTAAGCACGCCTGCGGACGGCGAGCACGCATGACTCGTCGCTCCATCAGAACCAGACCCGAGCGCATGGTACGTCGCGTGCTAGGACCCATCAGCCTACTACAGATGGGGCCCAATAGGGCTGATGCCAATACGAAGCCGCGGAGGACTTAACGTAGTTTGGAATTGTGCCTTGTATATGGCAATAGGCCCATCCCCTACTACATTGGACTCATAACATTAATAGTGAAAAGTGGGTGTTATATTGTACAGTGGCATTAAGTGGCGTAATGTGCTCCTCTGCCTACCCCCTTGGGGTTAAAAGGCGTGATGCTATGTTTTTGTTATCTAACAGTTTAGTATTATAATATATTATCTAGCTACTAGCTACTAAACATAGTATTATTATAGTGTGTGCAAATGATCGGACTTATCACATGAGGTGATTGCTTATAGACAACCTTTGGATGGTTTTGGTATTATAAAGAAAACAATTTGATTATGGATTGTCTAGTATGGATTACCTAATACTTCTAATAGTTAGTATTAACCAAATACCTATTACATAATCTAATACGTCAATCGTTGTATGTGCGAATATTTTCTATCTTATCTGCATAAAGTATTAGCGGAATAAATAGATAATTACGTAACTTCGATAGGTACTTCGTTCCTATAGGGGGTAATTAAATTAGGTTTTTTTTAATTAATTCGTTTTTGTTTTACTATGTTCTAAAGCTGTAAGTATCTACCATCCTCCAATTTTTTACTGACCCAACTTAATCATATTATCAGCACTGGCCTGTTGCCATCCAGTGGTGTCCAGCCATGGGTAGTGTCTTTTTTTTATGGGATACACCGGTAAACGAGCAGACGGATCACCTGATGGTAAGCAATCGGCGTCGCCCATGGACACCTGGAATACCAGATGCGTTACAAGTGTGTTACCGGCCTTTTGGGATTAGGAATTTGAGGGTTGTTGGGGATTCAGGGATTGGGGAAAGGGGGGGGGGGAGGGTAATTGGGCATCAGGTAACCTCACTCACACGACGAATCACAACACAACGTTGTTTCACGTCGGTCTTCTGTGAGGCCGGTCGAGCCGGCCCAAGCATGGCTCTCCTACACTTAAGTGTCTTCAATGGCCCCTGGCATATAAGGCTTTTCAATGGCACACAACTTATTCACGCTTGGGCAAGACAACGGCTCCTGGTTAAGATAATCTAAATATTAATTCAACAACAACCGAAATATTAACAAAGGATGATTAAATATTATATTAATACTGGATGAAGAAAACCAAACAATATCTATCTCAATGAACCTTAACATGATTTTAATTTACATTTTCTCATATTAGGATTTTGTATCGTGCAACACGAGCAACTAATCAATGGTTACAAAACTGTAATTTTCGTATCAAAATTATTTATTTATGCATTTATGAATGAAATACTTTAAGCTTACTTAATATTTATCCGACAGTCATAAATTAAAGAAAAAAGATAAACAATTTACAAAACAATGTGTTGTTGTGGTATAAAATAATATGCATTTAAGCATTGGTATTGTTTGGTTTAAATAGACAACTTCACTGACGATCCAAAGGCATTGAAAATCATAAACTTTAAGCATGTAATGAGTAGGAATGATCTGAAACTGTGGTAAGCTATCGAGAGACGGGCATTCATCTCTTCAAAATATTTCAGGTTTGAGGAAGCGCTTCGCATCAAGCTTCCTTGTGCGTACTGCTGAGGAGTGGATTTTTTGCCAGAGTCTGTATTTCCTGAAGTGTGGGTGTCTTCAAGGCCCGAGTGAATAGGTTACTTATGGGTCGACGTGCTCCATCGTAGGCCGCATCATCACTTACCACCAGGCGAGATGGTGATGAATAGTCAGTCTCAACTAATATAAAAAAAGGTGATGATGATGTCTTTTGAATGCTAATAAATTGCAAAGTTTCTGAATAAAAATTCAACATAACTTTACTCTAAATAAAATAGGAAACCGACCGACCTCCTAAGACATAGGAATAAATTTAATACCGATAATGATGTAGGTACGTATTTTTATGGGAAAGGAACTGGGAAGCAAACAAGCAGACAGACCAACTGATGGTAAGCAATCGGAGCCACTCATGGACACCCTCAACACGAGAGGATTTAAAAGTCTGCTGTCATGTTTTGGTGGACTTCAGTGTTTCGGTGTTTTCATGGTTGTATCTTGTTTTTTACGTTGCCCCACACAAGGATTTTCTCCTGTGTCATGGGTGCGTTTACAAACATACAAGTTCACATACACATGACACCCAGACCCGGAACACACAAAGAGAAGAAGAGAGAGGGAAAGAGAGAGAGAAGAGAGAAGAGTGACACGAATCTGCGCGGCAGCCAGTTACCCAACTACCGCTTCAACTGTGCTGTAGCATAGATCCGTGCGACAGTAGTTTTTGGATTAAACAAGTAGCAGCGGTTTTGGGAGCTTGTGACGGGTTTATCATATACGGGTCTCTCAGGAAGGTTAAAGACAACACAAGCGTGGTTTCACGCTAGTATTAGAATTTGAAGGTTATTTTCGTCTCTGATTACCATTCAAGCGATTGACGGCAATGAATACATTTATCTAGAACGCCTTATAAAAAGTATTATAATAATGATTTATGAGAAGGCAACTCCACGTAGGCTTATGATGAGGTTGTTATCATTCACTAGTGTCGTGGTTTGGCTTTGCTCAAGTTATTTTTGGTTGACTTTCTAGTTAAAAGTCATATAAAGGATTGTTTTATGCCAGAAGCGAGTATGAGGTCTCTGGTACCTAATCTCTGATCCGAAAAATATTGGATGCTTTATCCATGGTCCAAAAAATATAGTTTTAAGAATCTCTCTTATCACCACATAGTCTTAATAGAAGAATCTTAATAGATGACTAAAAACCAAAAAGAGGGCAAATGCAGGAGTATTGTGTGATCAAACACGTGAATATTAAATTAATAAAGAACTAGAAGATAAACACAATGATAATTGATAATACCTATACATCAGGTCAGGCGATTGATTGATTGTCAACACGTAATTATTAACTGTCAATATTAAACCCTAATTTACGACGTATAAAGATTAAAATTAAATAAACTATATAAAAATACGACTGTCTATTCATTAATACCTATTAATGGCTTATGTTGTGACATAGACAGGATTAAAACTGTGACGTCATACGACGAGAATATCGAATGGGCCTGCCCAAGCGGAGTGATATGATATGACTTCACAGAAGATGGCGTGAAACAAAATCTGCGTTGTGTTTCACTTGTTCCGACCCTCTAAAACGGCGTCGACAGCGAACTTATTGCTTCTGGACCAGAAGTTCTGGTGTCGATGTTGTCCATGGGTAGTTTATAAATCGATCACACGCAGACACATTATTACACTTTTTATCCCCGAAGAGGGAGCAAAGGTGCACATTACGGTACAATGTAAGACCCACTTTTTCACCATTTATTTTATTATAATATTAGTATGGTAATAAGGGGTATATTGCCATATACCGGCCACAATTCTAGACTCAGTGCCGACTATGCATGAGAATTAAAAAAATACCCAGTAGTACTTTGGCTGACCCGGAAATCGAGCCCGAGACTCCTCGCCCGGCAGTCACACTTGCAAACACTCGGCCAACGAGGCAGTCAACTCAACTGATATCATCATCATCATCAGCCCGTGTTCGTCTCCTGCTGGACATAGGCCTCTCCAATGGCACGCCACTGAGCTCGGTCTTCAGCTCTCATCCAACCACTGCCAGCCACCTTGCGGATGTCGTCACTCCACCTAGCTGTAGGGCGCCCTACACTACGTTTGCCTAGACGCGGTCTCCACCCTAGAACACGTCTACCCCAACGGTTATCGGTTCTTCGACAAATGTGACCGGCCCACTGCTACTTCAGCTTACTGATTCTTTGGGCTATGTCGGTAACTTTGGTTCTCTGTCGGATCACTTTGTTTCAGATTCGATCCTTCAAAGAGACTCCGAGCATAGCCCTCTCAATAGCTCGCTGCGCGATAACCGATATATAACATGAAAAAGATGACGTTCCATCATCGTTTGATGGTATAGGCTACAAAGTTGTCGCATAACTACGTTGAGTGCGATTAGGTTAATCGTCACTAATTCGACTGTTACTTCTCATACCCACCTCAGGGCAGTCATAGTTTGCCCTGAGAATCGATTGCAAGACCCCTAGCTCAGCCAACGAGGCAGTTCTTTATCTATATATCTAATTTTATACAACGGCAGGTAACCCCCTCGGAATTTGATTAATGAATAACAATAAGATTATATAATAATCTTTCGTTATCAATATAAAGATATGACCTGATCAAATGCAATAAACTGCTCAAGATTACATTTATTGCATCTTTGATTAAACAACAGTATAAATAATAGAGGTTTGCAATATTTCTACCAAATTACCCGACGGTAGGTAAGTGGACAATAAATTTTATTATACGAACGCACACACGTAATATAGATATTGCAAAAAATATCTATTAAAAAATAGTATAAAGTATTTAAGTAATTGCAAATTTGTTTTTATTTAATTCCAAAACTATTGGGATAAACTCAATGTAAATGTTTTGCATACCGTAATGAAACTATTGTGTCCCCACTGGTCTCTGGTTCACTGATAACATTGAATCAGCATTGTATTGCAATGTCGTGGAGAACCTAACGGGTTACCGGGACTCCGGTTCGACGTGCAGGCGAAGGAACGGGGTGGTTTTTAGTCAGTAAGAGTCTGACACTTCCTCCCGCCTCACCCAGGCGGGAGCAGTCATTCGATGATTTTCCCCCCTTAAAAAATTGTATTGCAATGATTCATATGTCAACATCTACACATACTTTAAGATATTGTAAAACATAGTAGGTATGAATAACCAAAAATAAAAGCAGCAAGCAAAGATATTTATGTAAAATACAACCAAGATACTGATACATAGGTACAAAGGACATTATCAACGACATTATCTACCAAATATAACAAACGTTTTTCTTATTTCCTTCAAAGAAATCACGAAGATGAAATTCCTGACTGTATTCGCTCTCCTGGTGGCGGCCGTGGCTGCTGACTACAGCCACTGGTCTCTGCATGAGCTCTCCGAGGCCATCCAGAACCCTAACACTGACCCCGCTCTGCTGCCCGCCTTGGAGGATGCCCTCAACCAAATGATGGACCAAATCTTCGCTGAGAAACCCGTGGTAAGTGCTTTTCTGCTATGCTGCAATGTATACCGTTGTTGATTGATTTAGTATACCGGTAACGCCATAATATTTAAAATGAATGCTTTTTGAAAGGTGTTGTTATTACAAAAGGTTTTTTTTACACTTTAAGGCTATATACAGAACGTAACCTAGTTGTCTTCAAGGTCTGAGTGAATTGCTTATGGGCAGGAGTGCTCCACCGTAGACCATATTATAGCTTACCACCAGGCGAGATAGCGGTTTAAGCCGGCCAAGAAGAACATTTTCTTTAATAATGTGCAGTAAAGTATCCCCTGTTCATTTTAAGTAACATCGAATATAATCCACAGGTACCTGCTGACGCCAACGCCCCCGTTGACCTGACTGGATGGACCCTCCACGACCTGGTTGCCGCTATGGAGAACCCTGAGACCGACCCCGCTCTCATGCCCTACCTCGAGCACGCCCTCAACGAAATGATGGATGCTATCTACGCTGGTATCCCCGTGGTAAGATGATGACCTTTAAAAATCTGATGATTGCTCAGTCGCATTTGCGTCAATTTTTAAAAACACATAACATAACATCACGCCTTTTATCCCCGAAGGGGTAGGCAGAGGTGCACATTATGCCACTGTACAATGTAACACCCACTTTTCACTATTTATGTTATGAGTCCCATGTAATAGGGGGTGAGCCTATTGTCATATACCGGGCACAATTCTAGACTCCGTGCTACTACTGAGATTTTTTTTAAAACTCAGTATACTTTGCCCGACCCGGGAATCGAACCCGAGACCCCTTGCCCGGCAGTCGCACTTGCGACCACTCAGCCAATGAGGCAGTCTGAATTTTTAATACTGACCAAATAACCTTAAAAAAGGTCTTTCTTGGTACTGAATCTGATGTCTTAAAGTCTCACTTATACACACCAACCTTAGAAATCTAACTCTACGAGTAATTTTACAGCTAAAACAAGACAGTACATGTATATAATAGGTCTTCTGTTTCATTAACACTATCTTCATCACCTCATTTTCGTATACTGGACAATGACCGTTATTCTAAGAACAATACGGTCTGTAATCGTCTAACTTGTTTGTATTACAGGAAGCCGTCGGTGTTCCCCCCGTATCCATGGAAGTCTCCCACTGGACTCTTCCTGAGCTTTCTGAAGCCCTCCAGAACCCTGAGACCGACCCTGCTATGATCCCCTACTTGGAACATGCTCTTAACCAGATGATGGATGCTCTTTACGCTGGACACGAATTGGTAAGGATAAATTTGAAGTCAAAACCGTAGCGCAACGTGTAGTGGGTTCGATTCCCGCACGGAACAACATTGTGTGATCCATAAATTGTTGTTTCGGGCTTGAGGGTCATGTGTATGTGAAATTGTATGTTTGTAAACGTACTCACGACACAGGAGAAAATCCTAGTCTGGGGCTACGTACAAAAAATGCTATGCTTTTTTGTACAGGCACTTTAAGATGTCAAAATAAAATTGACCATAAGCCAGTCCAAAGTATAGACTTATACTAGAATTTAGAATACTTGCTTTCTTTATTATAAAGGGCTGTAAGCTGTAAAGTTCTTCAAGTTCAAATTAAAGCAGAATGCTTAGTTTGCCTATTATTATTGTATACTGCATGGAGCTAATAACATTCTTTGACAACTGGTTTGTTCAGGAAATTGGTTCAAATCATTGTTATACAAATTTGATTTCGCTACCTTATTAAAAAAACTGTCTAACACTTTATTTTCTTCCAGGAATCTATCGCCATCGTTGCCCCTGCCGGTCTGGCCCCTGCCAAGCCCGACATCGTCAACCCTGTGCCCATGCCCATGCCTGTTGTAGAGCCTGCAGAACCAGCACCCATTGAGACCCCCGTCCTCCCCGAACCTGCCCCCGTACCTTCCAGCCCCCTTGTCCAGATCATCGTCAACATCAACCAGCAATAAATTAATATCGGAATTATTTGAATAGATGACTTTCTATACAAATAAATGATGCTATTATTGTTCATATGTATTGTGTTTTGTTATCCTTACTAATATTATAAATCGGAAAGTGAGTTTGTTTGTTTGTTTGTTCCGCTTTCACGCCGTAATTACTTAACCGATTGCTTTGAATTTTTGCAGAAGTAAAGTTAGAAGTCCGGATTAAATAATAGGGTACTTTTTATCTCGGAAAAAAATTATATCCCCGAGGGAAAACAAAAGTATTGGTATAGATGGCGCTGTGTGTATTGTATATGTCACATAGGCTATTTTTTATCCTTTTGTGACGCGAGCGAAGCCGCGGGTAAAAGCTAGTTGAGAAATATTTATTGAAAGTCAAAGTTATTTATTCCTATTGAAAAACTCCAACTGCCCTTTCCTTGTGATGTCTTGTGTAAATATGTGTATTGTTGCTATAGGACTACGGTCAGTATATATATTTTAACACAAATCTTTACCAAACCACACACTTACCTAATACTTTCTCCTATTAGATAAAAAAAGCTTAATGAAAAGATTGTCTCGAAACACATTAATCCACTGGTGACGTCGAAATAGTAATAAATGAAACTATTTAATTTATTCCCAATAGCACAAGATTCATTTTAATGTTCTAACTAAACCACAAATATTATATTTTTGTCATTGGAATAGAAAACACAAATAAATGGATAATAGATAGACATGTAGTTGGTCAATGCGGTTTACTGATAACAGGGTAACTAAACCATACAATCTACATAGAAATGTTAGTGTTTTGTCAGTATGAATGGTGACCGCAAATCACAAAACGAATGGAGATAGCATTAAGCTGTTTGAAAATAGAACATTCATCGATTAATACGTATTTGATGAATATTAGGTTGTGTACATTTTTATAATGATTATCGTGACACATACTAAATTAACTAAAAGTCGCGGGTTACTCACGTGAAGAGGCACGTGAGTATTCTACGCGACATCGCCGCTACCGTGCACGTCGATCGTGAGGAAGAACCCCTCTGTGGTTCGAAACTAGTAGAGCTTTTCTCAGTATTTTCACGTGAGTTACACGCGATTTTTTTTTTTAGTTAACATGTATACAATTATACATATTCAGAGATCCCGACCATGATTTAGAAAAAGGAAACTGATATAAAAACATATTTTTTTTCCTTTTCGATTACCTAAAGAATTTCCTGAAGCAACGTCTCTTAATCCCTTATTATCGGAAATTGCATCGAGATCCCCTTGTTTGGCGGTAGCAATCACAGCCACTCAACCGACGAGTCAGTAGGATATTGGAAAGCTATAATCCTGTTAAATATAATTACCGATATAGCATGTGGAATCATTCAGCGCTTACTGAGCAGTAAATCCATTTCGATTCAATACAATCCGATTTTCAGGTCCGGTTTATTGTCCGATTTTTATCCCATAGTTATTAAAGTATTTTTTTGATGATGTGTTATGTAATTGGGTTCTTTCCTTGATTAAAAATAATTTGATTCGACTGTTTAATACAATAACATATTAAAAATAATCACACATTCATTAATTGATTTTATAACCAACTAAATTTTTGTATTTTTTTATAAATTTTTAATGAATAAATATGCTTTTTGACATTAAAAAAACTTGACGTCACAATTCATAATCTCGTACGAAATCATTACGAAATTCATAGAAAACTGTCGTTTTTGACAGTTCGAAAAAAGTATTGAATTTGTTTAATTGTTAAGTATCTACCCAATTGGAGATGAAAAAAAGTTTCCTAATTTGTCCAAGTTGGTTAGGGCATAAAAATTAAAAAGTTACATCACATTGTAAAGGTAGCAGTGAGCCGCTGGAAGCAAATTCGGTCACTACAGGCTTTGCGGTCAACATATTTGGGGAGCCTCATGTTTAGCATTGGCGGGCTGAAATAATGATGAAGTGTACAAGAGGCGTGTCAAACAAGACACTTTTTTTTAAGTTCGGACAATCATCTAGCATCTGCGATATGATCCGTGTGTCACGCGCTGGCCTTATCACACCTGTCTAGCATACCCTGGCCACGTAGCTAACACTACTCTACCATGACAAACAAAGACAATAAACATTAGATTGGACTTTAACCTTATTACAATTCAAGGTTATTCAAGTTCATATGTATTTATAGAGAGATAAATATGTATAAAGAATCATCAATCAGATCGATTCAGTGTCAGTGGTACCGTTTACGAGATTGCGGTTTTCCCAGGCCGGGCATAAGATTTTCTGTCATTGGGTTTATGGCGGCAGGGTCGGTCGTCACCTTCTATTAAGAACTTCTTTTAAGAATTAAGAACTTCTTTTCTTTCAATTAAGAACTTCCAGTAATAGACTTGACCCTAGGGATAGAGACCTCATGGTCTCCAGTTGGTTCAGTAGGAGTAAGCTTATTAGTCATAATATAATGAATGAGATGTTGGTGTTGCAATTTCTACTGACTTCTTTAGAAAACAAAAGGTAGCTAATTTCTGGCAATCAGCCCAACTAATATTGTAAATGCGTAGGTTTGTATGTTTGTCTATTTGTGTTTTTTATGGGATAAGCCCGTAAACGAGCCGACAGATCACCTAATGGTAAGCAATCGGCGTCGCCCAAGGACACCTTGAACACCAGAGGCGTTACAAATGCGTTACCGGCTTTTTGGGATTAGGAATTTGAGGATTGTTGGGGATTTAGGGATTGGGGAAATGGGGGGGTGGGGTATGGTAGATGGGCCTTCGGTAACCTCACTAACACGACGAAAAACAACACAACGTTGTTTCATGTCGGTCTTCTGTGAGGCCGTGGTATCACTTCGGTCGAACCTTCCCATTATGCCCTTAAGGATCTTTAAGTGTCCACTTGGGGCCCCTTAAAGTACAAGTCCCTTTGATAAGCCATGGATTATGATAAGATGAGATTACTATTGATAGATTGATACACTCAGATCATGATAAGGTTTCCTATCATGCAGCTGCAGTAGTCACGATGGTTTATGTCTAAACCTTGTGACCTTTTATGGTGTTCTGTGATAATAATTATTAATAATTAGTTATCCTAATTTCTTTACTGCCTCATTGGCTGACTGTCGGCAAGGGGTCTCGGGTTCAATTCCCAGGTCTGGCAAAGTCATGGAGGCGTGGATCGACAGAGGACATGGTGTCCTAAGCTTCCGGTTGACGCAGGTACTTACCGGACATGGCTGCTTTGGAAAGTACTTGTGTCGCATAGGCCGGGAGCAGACATCGGCGTGTCATCACTGTGATGGTGGTTTGGAGGATACGGCGCGGCACACGCTCGAAGAGTGTACTGCATGGGCAGAGCCGCGTCGTGAACTCTTTGCAGTACTCGGCGGGAGTAACCTGTCGCTGTCGACTGTGGTACGAGATATGGTCGACAGCGAGAGCGCATGGGACGGAGTCGCTTCCTTCTGCGAACAAGTCATGTTGGAAAAGGAAGCGGCTGAAAGGGAGAGAGAGGCGTCAAGTTCTCTCCCCTCTCGCCGTAGACGCGCCGGTCGTCAGCGCCGTGAAGCGGCAGCCGATCTGCGACCTCCATGAGAGGAGAGGCCTGCGGGCGACTGACCGGGGGAGTCAGACGTCCGCTATATAGGCGGGAGTAGGCGGTAGCGTAGTGTTCCACGCGCGCTACTCGAAGAAGGGAAGCAGCCTCCTAGGGCCGCTAAAGTGGCGGGACCTGCCGCAAACATAGCGGTAGATTGAAGCCTGCCGGATGTGGTGATTCCGTAAGGGCAACCCGGGTCACGGTCACAGGCAGTGAAGGAACACCGCGGTGGTTTTAGCCGGTAAGAGTCCGGCACGCCCCCTCGTCGTCCCCACGACGCGGGAAGTCCATGAGGATTTCCATCGCGATAGAAAAAAAAAAAAAAAAAAGGTCTGGCAAAGTATTATTGGGTTTTTTTAAAAACTGGAAATGTGCCTGGTATGTTACAATAGGCTCACTCCCTATTACATGGGACTGATAACGTAAATAGTGTAGTAGGTGTTACATTCTATGTGGCATTAAGTGTCGTAATGTGCGCCTCTGCTTACCCCTTCGGGGATAAAAGGCGTTATGTTATGTCTAATTTCTTTATCTATAGATTCTATATTTTTTATAAATGGAATAATCTTTGTTGAGTAAGCTGCGTAAAATTTGAACATCTCGCTCTTAACCATATTATTTATCGTTTATCTTATTTCCTTATTGAAGGGATAGGCAACATAATTATGGTCGCAGAGACTCGCTTGATGCAGGTATTTCCAACTGATATTAAAAGCCAGTTTTGAGCAATCACTTGATTTATTCAAAACTACTAGAAGTAGCTACTTACTAAGAATTTGCAACCAAAAAACCCGACAAAATCGTACGACCGTCTTCAGTGAATTGATGAATTGGTGTAGAGCTAATAATAAATTATCCTTATAACTTGTTTTGGTGTTATTATTAACATTGTATGACCTTATATGCAATCGTAATGGGCTCGCTGCCATTGCAGCGGTAAGTCCCCTCTTTGAGGAGTGGCTTGAGAGACGCTACGGCGTCCTCACCTACCGCCTGACGCAGGTCCTCACCGGACATGGAAGTTTCGGGAGGTACCTGTGTCTGATGGGGCGGGAGGAAACGCCCGGGTGTCATCACTGCGAGGACCGCCCTGAGGACACGGTGGAACACACCGTAGCGGAATGCCCTGCGTGGGCTGAGCACCGCCGTGCCCTCAGGGAAGTGATCGGCGATGGCGACCTCTCGCGTCCGGGCCTAGTGCAGGCCATGATGCGGAGCGAGGGGGACTGGGATGCCGTCTCCTCCTTTTGCGAAGCAGTCATGCTAGCTAAGGAGGAGGCGGGACGCGTGAGGCAGCGAAGCGCTGCCTCCTCGCGACCCAGCCATCGCGAAGGACACACCGGGCGTCGGGGATCGCGGGACGATCTCCGGCCACCGTAAGCGCGGGCCTGCGGACGGCGAGCATG